ATCGCTGTTTTTTTTTTGTTTTTAGCAACTAATCGTTATGAGATATTAGACTGCACTGGGAACAAATTCCCAATAACTTTTTTGAGCTCATTTATGTATTACAACTAATTGAAACATTTGAAAAAAAAACTAACCTATTTGTTTTACCTAATTGATCTACTGTATTTTATTGCCCCTCGTTTCTGACGGTGCACTGCTATTGGTCTGCTGATCTCTATCCCCATCCGTCATTCTTCATTAGCGCCTGTCACTCGATTCTTGACTCTCGAGTGGCCAAAATTATTGATATCCCGATAAACCAAAGGCTCTTAGTCATAGGCACTCGAGCCGTTTCCACGTAGAGCCAGAAATTAGTGGCACTAAACGGAGCGATATTAAACGAAACAAAGGGAAACGGTAGCTAAAAACCGGGCACACACGATTTTATTACCCGGTTTTCCGCGTAACTTTGGGCCAATCATTATCGAACCGGCGAAGATTTACGATCGCCGGCATCGCGGCATCGAAATCACAGTCCACATAATCACGCGCTAATAACCGCGATAACTTGGCCACAAGACGAGCCAGCGAATTCCACGATAGGATGAGCCACCCGAAAAATCGCACCACCCTAAAAAAAAAAACCCAAAAATAGCCGCAAAACCCACCCACCGACCCACCGCCCTTCGGGTGGCGACCCGTTCGCGCGTTTATTAATTAGAATTTACGGTCCGTCCGTTTTCGCGTCCGAATAGATACAATAAATAGCCGATGTATATGAGGCTCGAGCGCCTAATCTTATCGTTCCGGCTCAGCTCTTCAGTTCTTCAAACGGGCTTTCGAACAGCCGAAGAGCTCCTCCTATCGACCAGGAGCGGTCGACCCAACAGATCTCCGGAGAGATCTAATCACTCATCGAAGTAATGGAATTCAGGGAATTGTTTACCCCAAAGGGTTCTTACACAAAGCACACTAAACTCAGTTGCGATAGTGGATATGGTAATTAAAAGATTTCAAGGAGATATCTCTGGAAGAAGATTATTTTAATTATTGGAAAATTTTTTTATCTTAATTCTCACAAGGAAATACCCGCCAAGAAAGTTCCCAAAAATGTTTAACCATATAAATATTATTGCAAAGTATATACTTGCATTTCCCTTTCTGAACCGCTCCTGCATCCTGCCACACGCCCTCTGGCCAATTGGGGATTTAGGGCGCGTGCCACGCCCCCTGGTCAACTATCAGACACCTGCAGCGCCTTCTTGTGTCGGCTATCTCGCGTCACAAGGAATTGGCAGGCGCAAATCAAAGAGCAGAAATGAATCTGGCCAAAATAAAAGAGTTGACAAAAAAAGGGGGAGGGAGGCGGTTAAATAAAATATATAATAATGCGGCTGGGACGGAACGGCGGCCCCTTAGCTCTATCTCTGTCTGATTATTTACAGTTAGCTCCGGCCAGGCGATAACCTTGCCCACATATATCTTGGCCAGCTCTTGGACCGCCATTTGCGATTACCTGCTGGCGACGACGCCGCAGTCGCAGTCGACGTCGACAGCGACGCCTGCCACTAATCACTCCAATTAGCTAGAAAGTGCTTTTCGTTTAAAATTCGCACGTTGTCGCAGTTTCTTGGCATTGTACTGCGAGGCTCTGAGACAGCCACTTGGCCATTTGGAGTTCCCTTTTAGTGGTTCGCTTCACTTCACTTCACAGTCCGATCCCAAAGTTCGACGCTTCCCGATTCCCCGATTCGAGTTCCGTGTCCCGATTCGAAGGATTCGCCTTTTTTTTCCGCCAAAAGTGAGTGAGTGTGCTTGCCGCAGTGACAAATCCTGATCCTGACAAAAAAAAAACCCTTAAACCCTTTACCAAACGTTGACCTGAAAACCCAAGCAAATATAAAAAACAAAAACCGTAAAAACAATAAACCAAGTTAACCAAAAAACCAAAACCGAAAAACCTGAGCGAAGCGAAGCGAAAGAGAAACAAAAACCCATTACAAATAACCAAATTCGAATGCAGACAAAAATAACAAATTGAACAAAATTGTAGTATGTAGTAATAAAAATCAAAACAAGACATTTGCGAACCGACAAACTTGAGTTACTCTATAAAAAATTATACGACTCGTTGAACAAGTGCTATAAAGTATACGGTTTAAGGTTTTCAACTGGCATACAAATAATGATATAGATTTTTTCCATTTGCGGAAACTGAAAAAGTTCCGGGTTTTAGGAAAGTTTTAAGTCTTGAAAAGCATAAAAAGAATAAGCTTCCTTTTTTTTAAATGTTACTTCAAATGGCAGTGGGTTTAAGGAATCCTTTTTAAAAATAACTGCTAGGATATTTTCGGTTTAGTTAACTGTTCCGATAGGTAATAAAACTCTACCTTAATCCTTTTAATGTTGAAATGAACTTGAATGAAATTCGCAAGACTTTTCGCACAAATAAAGTATCTCAGGTGAAGGGCCGCGTAGCAAAATGGAAATAATACATAAAAGCGAGCGAATAGCAATAACAAAAATAACAACTATTGGCACCAGCCAATTTGTAGGCCACTTAAGTCCCGATCTACGCGCGGTGAAGATAATGCAGATTGTCTATAGCCGATTTCGAAACGCGATCGAAAGGGAAACACGACGGACGAGTCGTGTGTTGTGGTTGTGGTTTTTGTTGCGGAGTTTCCGACTTTGATGAGTGCGTTATTTCGCTAGAATAATAATTGAAATTGAAATGCTTTTTTTTAATGACGTTTGGCGCGTGTCGCGTTTTTTATAAGTCTCGTTTTATATACAGATATCTATAGAAAAATTAACCCACACGCAGCGGCCATAAAAATCTTTGGCTCAAATGTAGAGAGAACGCCAATTGCCGGCCAAATTCGGATAATAGATATACTCGTGCAATCGTTCAGTCGTGTGGTATATATTCTTTATATAATCGCTGGCGGCGTTTTCGGTTTCATTCCATCGCATGCCATCAGATATTTGCCATCGGGCAAATCCGACGAAAGTATATCGGCTATCGGCTGAATTAAAGGCGAAAACAACACGTGCTGGCCGAATATTCTGGCTTACCCAGAATATTATATCCCTCCCTATACTATATATATCGACTTGGCCAGCTGTTTGGGTTTTGGGTTTTAAATAATTAGCATTAAACGGCGTCGAGCTTGTTGTGATGACGTCAGTGGCTCGAAGTCGCCAGTAGCAAGTTCTTTATAAGCTCTACTAATTATGGCCAGGTTTTTTGTGACTTCGTTTCTGGATTTCCTTTTCGCACAAAAAGCCCAAAATCCGAACTGCGTCGTTCTATCTGACGTATTATCCGCGATAATAAGCGAATGCGAACGCGAACCAATTCGCCACGGATTTGAGAGCTCTGAATAGATGGTCATCGCAGCGTAATAATCGATTATAATCCGGGTTAAGTAGGGGATTACTTAACCCATATATGGTATGCAAACAGGGTTTTACAGCCGGTGCAACGCTTGCCGCAGTCACTGTTCTCGTGCTAACTAAACTAAACTAAACTAAACTGTCACCGCCATAACACTAAGGCCCATATATAATGTCTATGAAGTCACATGCCGGACAGTCGCGAGTCGCGAGTCACGAATTGCATCACAAAAAGTCGGGGAATAGCTACAGTGACTGCTAAAATGTATGGGCCACTTGGGAGTGCAGTTTGCACAACATTACGCTTGTCGTACAACGCGGCTAAGCTAATCACTTTAAGGTTCCCCTAATGAAATCATCAAGCAGTCACATCTCACTCTGAAATATATAGTCCCTCTTCCCGTAAAGAAGACAATAGTAATAAGAATAACTTTCTTCTAGTAAAATATGAACAGTTTTTCAGAGTTAGAACGCAAAACTATATTTATTCCTACAATTAAGAACACTTGGACACTAATGAATTGTTACAAAATTACTACACCTAACTAAATAGCAATTAACAGTTTTTAGGAACAATGACAGGTAACACTTCGAGAAAACTCCCAAAGGAGAAACACCTTTCCAGTTAAATTACACAAATATGAGTGCACCGAGTTCTGAGAAAACAAGTTTGCCAGTTAAATCCTATTAAGTGGCAGTTCACCGATCCACACGTGACTTTAAATCGGAATCTTAGAGCTAGGCCATCGATATTTTCGGTTGATATCCTCATTTCTCTGCAGACATTTCGTTTTTGGTTGGTTGCTTAGCATAAATGAATATTAATTTATGCAGAATTGTAAAAAGAAACCCGGCGATGATTATAAGTCATAAAGTTTTTAGCAGTTTTATGCTGGAGTTTTGTTTATTTCTGTTAGCATTGTTATTATTGATAATTTTTGCTGTTTATTTCCTTTGAGAATTTCTATGCCAATGTCTGGCCATAAAAAGTTTACCCAATTTTTTTTATTATCATTACTGGTTTTTGTGTGAGTTGTATTTGATATTTTGTTGCTTTTTTTGTTTTTTGTTTTTTGTTGTGTGTCGTCAGGGGTTTCATTGTGTTTTGTCGCTTCAGTTGAGGGGCCTGAATAATAGTTTGGATACCGCCTAATATGCAATTAATTGGACATGAACTTGAACTGCGGCCGAATCGGGGGGACTGGGGATGTCAATTATAAACAATTAGACAATGGCAAAATTGGTAACCAACCGATGGGAACGCGGGCCAAATGAATGGGGAAGACTTTGGCAGAATGCTTCTGAATCTCAAACAGATTCGCAATTGTTCCTGGGTTATAATATACTATGTATACACACAGATATATACTCGTACTGCCAGTTAGTCAAGCAGTCAGTGCCATCAATTTGTCTACAAAATTTCGAACAATTATGGCTCGGTCCAGGCAATTTTCAATAACGAATAGCGAAAATCTTTCTGTATTGAAGTTATTATATTTTTATTATTATTGTTAATACCTCTGTTGAATACGTACGCTAATCGAGTGCTTTGCACACTCGCATTCACAACAAATGGCATTATAATCTTCTAATCGTGTTACATGTATTTTCACTCTTTGCAGGCAACTTTTCCCTTGGGTTAATTGATTAACCAGGCCCAAATAAATACGAAAGGGAGCGGAGAACACAAAGAGCCAGCAAGATGACTGGTTTCACGAACGCCGGCTTCGAGAACGATGAGCCCGTCAAGGTGAGTGTTCCGTAGTACCTTTTTTTTTTTTTTTTTTTGGGTCCCAAGTAGTTCTCTCCCCGAGGAGTGCTTACCTGGTTTTCACCTCCTCATCATTCATTCATCTTGAACAAGTGCTGGACACGTCAACGTACCCATAATGAAATCACCGGCCCACAAATCTTGTAAACAAAGGCGGGCGAAAAGAAATCGCGAAACGAGGCTCATTATTTCGAGATCTGCATAATTAAATGATAACCCTTGCTCAATCATTTCGCATTTAAGAGCACCAGGAAGCCCAATACCAAAGTCCAGGCAGGAACCCCAATTGGTTGCTTAGTTCAGTGGGTTTATTGTGCTTTAATTGTGGCAAAGAAAGGCTTACCTACTCCTTGGGGTTTCCTCATTGCTTATCACAAGGCTGGCACACAGCGAGTTTCCCAGTTCCAGTGGAATATTTAGCCTGTGCTCTGTACAGATTACTAATTCAAGTTATCAACAGGTGCGTTGTCCAAAAGGAAGCCTCCCTACCAAATTTCAACCAAATCGCACTACTCTACAACTATGTACTATAAACAATTATTTTGTCGCCTAGTAAGAGATCCGTTAGCTGGATTAGTGGGGTAATTATAAAGTAATTAACAAGCTTGCACTTAATTATCGCAACTGGTTTACGGATTCAATGAGAGCAGTTGGAGCAGACTGGAGCACATAGGAAGTCTTTTGCTTTTCAATTACTTAAGGTTCAATTATGAAAAGAACCTGACACTGTCTGCAAAATGGAACGAGCACGGCCACTTTACACACACCTGGATCGGGTTTCAATCAAATGGCCTGGGTATTTCCCGGGTTCGCGGAGAACTTATCAAAATGGCCATAAACGCTGCCACTTGACAATTTTTGTCACATTCTCACATAGTTTGTCGTCTCGTTTTTGGCATTCATTCATGCATGGACGCTATGGCGTTTAGCCATATGGCTATATGGCCATATAGCTAATAGGCCGGATTACACTTATCGACTGTCTGGGGCCGAGTGTTTTGTTTTATTTTCTGTTTTGTTTTTTCGCTTACATTTTCTGGTTTCGTTTTGTGTGTGGAATCGCATTGTTTTGATGTTAAGTTAATGACTGCGTTTGCCTTCGCCAAAGAAACCATGTTTTATAATGACACGCGTCATAGTTTTTGTATCAAGACGACCCTCTCGGAGAGGAAGTGTCCAATAAAGCGAAAAACCTGGGCCAACTAAGCCAAAGCTCGGCTGGCGATAATTCCGATGATCATTAGCATTTGGCCACTCCTTTGAGTTTTTAATGAGGCGAAATAAATTTCACCTCAAGAAACCAAATACCGAAGACGAAAAATCGAAAAACCCACGCGAGAAGCAGAAAAGCAGAAAAAGAAATGTGACAGCAGAAAGCGCTCCCCACACACATATTTATGGATATGTCTTAGCCACAAACTTGACCAGCCAGCTGATGGCCAGCCGATTTGGCAATAAATAAGGTAACAGAAACAGAAAAAAACAGACTTACGAAAAAACAAAAGCAAAACCGGGCAAACAAACAGCAACTAACGACAGAAAAATGTATTGCACAATTAAAGCACCGACAAGGTTTCATAATAAAATATTGCCAATTTACAATGGCCCCACCCCCTCGAAAGAGATACCCATGCCCCACCCAGTGTAATCGGTTCTTGGGAGCCATCGAAGCCATCGAAAGCAAACTCGTTTTCCTCGCTTTGGCCAACACAGAACCGCAGCAGCCAAAAAAAAGAAAAATAATAAAAACAAAAAGGAAATACATATTCAAAATCAAAGAAACCAGAGAACGTCCAGCTAACAAACAAACTTACAACGGCGGTCAGCAAACTATCACCTTACTTAAAGCTTACAATCTTTTGAAGGCTGTAAAAGCCCTTTGTATATCGGGTTCTATCGCGCTGACCGCTGCTGTGTGTGTAAAGCACCAAAGCCAAATGGCATGTAAATCGGTGAAGGGGATTTCCAGGGGGAAGGGGGAACTGCGAGCTGGGCAAACACGAAACGTGCCGCGTTTAAAAATAAAACGCAAATCTCGTGCGGGGCAGCGCGTGCGCAACATGTTGCCACACAAACACGGACGCACACACACACACACACACTCGCCCGCACACACTTCCAACAGGCAGTAGGTCGCTGGCAACATGTTGCCGAAGTCATCGATCGACTTTACACCAATGATTCAAAATACTTGAAACCTAAACCACTTGATCAATAGATTGGAGTGTTGTACTCAACATTTATTTCATTATTGCTGGATGAATTCTTTTTACAAATAATAATAAAAATAACGTAAAACCTGAGTTTTTTAAAAGATGAGATACGTGACTCAATTTTCCAAATCTATTTAAATATTTAAAAATATTTACTCCTATTTGTTCTTCTGTTTTAAATACTAACAGAGAGTGGTAAAAATTTTTTTTTTTTTTTGTGCAGACACTCAAACACACTTGAAGAAAATAAAAGAAATACAAACGAATATCAACACACACCTGCGGCCACACTCGAAGAGACGGTCCGCTCACCTGGCCGCTTTTAACTGGTTTGCGGCGGTTTTTGTTTGTCTCAACTAGCGGCGTCGCTGCCAACACTCTCGCATATCATTATGGCCCGTGTGCACTGGCATTATTATTACGCGCACTTGTTCCAAAGCCGAGCTTGGCGTTTCTTTGAAAAAAACTGGAGAAAAATGGGTGAACAAAACCTAAATATCAGCTGTTAGCGGGAAAAGCACACCGCAACAAACAGGCGAGCACACAAATAAAACAAAAAAAAAAGGGAAAAACAAACACAGACAGTCGAGAGTGGTTTCCAGTTGGCTTTGTGCATTGTCATGATTTTTTTTCTTGCTTTTCTTACCTACTTGTAAATGCTAGCCCACATTTATTTGCATACACTCGCGGTTTAAGAAACGCAGCCAATGCCTGAAAATCCCTAAAACATTTCTCTGGAATTCTCCAAGCGATTACTTCGTTTTTGCTTGGGATATATATTTAATGCAAATATTCTAAGTATGCATTTCATCTGGATGTTTGCCAAGCTTTCGCACACAGGGCGTATGCGCAATATTGAGTTTTTGGCTCTCCCTTTTCGATTTCAAGAGTTCGATTGCACTTTTTCGTTTTCTGTTCACTTGACTTTTGATTTTACACTTATTCCTTGCCAATTAAATGCGACATTTAAGAGTTCCAGGTATTATATCTTTTTTTGCCGTGTGTGTTTGTTGACTTTTTTAATGGTTTGCCATTTTTTTTTTCTGTTTTCGTTTTTAATAAAAATTTAAATGCAATTTTATTATGCTGATAAGTGGCGAGGGGATTTTTGTATCTGAATATCTGTCTGCAATTTGCATACAAACAAAACGGGGTTCCTATAGCCCCCCATCCCGTTAAATCTGGCGATTTCCTTAAGTTTTAAATCGTGTGAACAGCGGCAACTATTATGCGCTGTAATTAAGTCCATATTGTTGGCAGCCCCGCGGCAAATGGAAGCAAAAACAAAAACAGAAGCAAAGCAACAAAATGTCGAGTGTAATCGATTTTGACTTGCATAACAACGCGTGTGGGTTAAACCGACCCCCCCTTCAAAACCGACGCCCCTGACTGCCGATGTAACCTTCTTGCCCTGTGCGGTGCATGCGAAATCGCCATTTTCGGCGTGGCTTTGGGCCCGGGTCTTGCTCTCGGTCGGTTCTCGGGACCCAGACAGGCACCACAGGCACCACGGGCATTTTGATGGCCGCCGTTTTAGCGGCGAACGAACGAACAACGAAAAACGCGCCGCGCCACGCATGCGCAATGCGAAAAGCGCGCGCGAAACGCGAGCAAAACGCGTGCGGCCTTTTTAAATTCATTTCGGATCAGTCCAAATTTTTCCCCCTGGGGTTTTTTTTAGAAACTAAAAGCGTAAAATGCGCCAACATATAAATATTTAATTAATGTGTAGTGTGTCAAGCAGCGAACAAGACAAGAAAACGAAAGCTAGCAAGAGAAAAGACGAACTCTTGATGCTCTTTAAGTAAAATATCCTTTTAAAAATATCACTTGAATATTTCCATTTACCAATATTCCTAAAATTTCTTACAAAACATAGCACTTAAGGTAGTACATCATTATGATTTGTTTTAAGTCCCCTCATTTTTTACTGTGCATTTCTCCCATTTACAACCCAATGGAGATTAGTTTTAATTATCATCCATTTTGGGGGACAATTTAAATAAATTTGTTCAAAACACAAAGGCATAATAAGAAAGTTAACGCTGCCCCGAAAATGGGGAGATGGGAAAGAAAGTAGGATCATGATCATCCATCCACATCCACATTCACAGCAACAACTTTTAGCTGCACTCCTCGAGATCCAAGATCTGAGATCTGCTGCGGTGACCAAAGCCAAAGCCAAAAACGAATGCCGATCGGTTGCCACTTTGCTTACGATATCTTTTCTTTGCTTGCTTTTCGTTTATTTTTAGCCAAAAGCTGGTTTCGAGCCCGACACCGCCTCGCTGCGAGAGAAAGTTGTGCTGAATCCGGGCGAGAAATGGCGCATCTTAAAGAATATCTCGATCATCTCGATCGCCTTCATGGTGCAGTTTACAGCGTTTCAGGTGAGACAACATTGCCAGCTCGAAAATCGTTTCGAAATCGCAATTCACTTATACAACACAGTAATGTAACGTAACGTAATGATACTAAATATTTAAATTGTTAATTGGGAATATTATGAAACCCCAATGTACTAATAATAAATGGTTACAAGTTATTAAATTATTTGCTTATTGTTTTCGCAATTTTAGGGCACGGCCAACCTGCAATCGTCTATCAACTCGAAGGACGGCCTCGGAACAGTCTCGCTGAGTGCGATCTACGCCGCCCTGGTGGTGTCCTGCATCTTCCTGCCCACGCTGATCATCCGCAAGCTGACGGTCAAGTGGACCCTCGTGTGCAGCATGCTCTGCTATGCACCCTACATCGCCTTCCAGCTCTTCCCGCGCTTCTACACCCTGGTGCCCGCCGGCATCCTGGTCGGTATGGGTGCGGCACCCATGTGGGCGTCCAAGGCCACCTACCTGACGCAGGTGGGACAGGTGTACGCCAAGATCACGGAACAGGCGGTGGACGCCATCATTGTGCGCTTCTTCGGCTTCTTCTTCCTGGCCTGGCAGTCCGCTGAGCTCTGGGGCAATCTCATCTCCAGCTTGGGTGAGTTATCAATCATTACTATTACTATTCCAGATATGCTTAGTCGCCTCCTGATTCCCGATTGATTCCCTCTGGAACGGAAAACAGTTGCTCATAAAAATTCCGAAAAGTCACTGGCAATCTTATCGAGCCATAAAACTTACTACAGTATTAGCTTTTGATTTAGCCAGCTACCAGAGATCATAAAACTACCGCCAGCGCCATTTGATACCGATTACCGGGCACTTTTACCAATCCCCAATTGCCGGAAATTTACAGAGTCAGTAAACATAGATTTGATTAGTTTCGGGCGAAAAACAAAGTTGTTTCGTTGAATTAATTTGTTTTGGAATAATGGAGTTCCCCGTTTAATTTAGTGGGGCATTAGGTACAGATCTCGCCGCTAAATTCTAGGATATTGATTATAGGTTTTCCGGGTTACTAATGGCATATCCTTTTTGTTTCCTGTAGTCCTTTCCAGCGGAGCCCATGGTGGAAGCAGCAGCTCGAACACGACGATCAGCGCGGAGGACTTGCAGTACTGCGGCGCCAACTTCTGCACGACCGGAAGCAGTGGACACGGCAACCTGGAGCGGCCGCCAGAGGATGAGATCTTCGAGATCACGATGATCTACCTGTCCTGCATTGTGGCCGCCGTCTGCATCATCGCCTTCTTCCTCGATCCCCTGAAGCGTTATGGCGAAAAGCGCAAGGGGTCCAACTCGGCGGCGGAGCTCTCGGGACTGCAGCTGCTGTCGGCCACCTTCCGCCAGATGAAGAAGCCGAACCTGCAGCTCCTCATCCCGATCACCGTGTTCATCGGCATGGAGCAGGCCTTCATCGGCGCCGACTTCACCCAGGCCTACGTGGCCTGCGCCCTGGGCGTGAACAAGATTGGCTTCGTGATGATCTGCTTCGGCGTGGTGAACGCCCTCTGCTCGATCCTCTTCGGATCGGTGATGAAGTACATTGGCCGCATGCCGATCATCGTTCTGGGCGCCGTCGTCCATTTCACCCTGATCACCGTGGAGCTCTTCTGGCGCCCCAATCCCGACAACCCCATCATCTTCTATGCGATGTCCGGTCTTTGGGGCGTCGGCGATGCCGTGTGGCAGACGCAGATCAACGGACTGTACGGACTGCTCTTCCGCAGGAACAAGGAGGCCGCCTTCTCCAACTACCGCCTGTGGGAGTCCGCTGGATTCGTGATCGCCTACGCCTACGCCACCACGCTCTGCACGCAGATGAAGCTCTACATCCTGCTGGCGGTGCTCACGCTCGGCTGCATCGGCTACGTGATTGTGGAGATCCTCTACAGGAAGAAGGTGAGTTTACAGAGTTCACTGTTAGGTGTTATTAGAAGCTCAATGGAGGTACTTCAAGGAGCAGTGGCTCATGAAAGATTTCTCATAACTTGTCATTATAAATTTTATATTTACTTATTTAAATTTCGAAATCAAATTGTATTTTCATTTCCCTTTGGACGCTGTGCCCAAAAGTCGGCAAGTGTTTTTGGATTTTAGATATTCATTATAAATATTAGAAATGAAATTTTCAAATTCAAGATAGCATTTCCATAAAATCACCGCAAATTCTCCAAACTAATCAACTAAATTCACTATGAGGAACTCTTCTCCAAACACGCCGATAAGTAGGCAATGAAAACTTAAGTCCACCGATTGCTAATCCGTTTTGTGTTATCCTTTGCAGCAACGCAAGGTGAAGAAGCAGGAGAGGCTGGAGGCGGCGGAGAAGGAGAAGGAGGCCGCTGCCGCCGCAGCTGCTGCCGCTCTGGCCGCCGCAGAGGCAGGTCCCGATGGCGTCGAGGAGACCGACGACGAGCTGGACGATCTCGAGGAGGACATTGTGGTCACGCGCCTGTAAATGTGTTATTCTCCCCTAAACGTGCACCCCCGAAAACCCACAAGCCCCTCACAAGCCCCACATTCCATCAGTTATCGATAGAAGGAGAGAACAGAAGGAGAACATCGGAAGCGTTATCGATTCAACTATCCACTTTGCATATGCGCTATCGATAGCATAGTATAGTTAACAATCCTGTCGATAGGCATAACGGCAAAATAACGCTCCATTATCGATAATCAAGAAAAGACATCAACTGGCGCCGATCGAAGGACGCAAGGCGTTGCATACTTTTGTGGTTGTAGTTTTGTAGTAGAACATTTGTACCCCTCACCCCCGAAAACCCGCTCCTGCAAAAGAGAAGAAACCATTTAGCTCAAAGCCCAAACGCGTTTGGCGTTTGGCTTAACTTTAGTTTGTACATACAGAGAAGAGATCGAAAAGGGCGACATGCTAATTAAATGCAAAGGCAGTGAGAAACCCCGGAAAATGCAAAACTTTTGTGTCTTAGTCTAGGTGTAAGCACACTCGCACTTGTGGCTTATATTCACGCTCTATTCTCAAATATATCTTTTTGAAATTGAGGCGTTTTTATAAGCCCAGTGCCACACAACCATTCAAGCGAAAAACGCACACACCTACACACGAGATACACACACTGCAACAGTGTGCGTGTCCACAATGCCTAACAAATTGTTATTTTATTTTAAAGTGTATTTTTACTGTAGTCTATCCTTAAACGAAAATTGTAATTCCCCTCCCTTTCTTGTAAATTGAGTTTTTTGTTTTTTTTTTTAAAGAAAACGTGATAATCCATAGACGGCCACACGAAACACAAGAACAGTCACAAAAAAAAAACAATTATATAAAAATAGTCAAATTTGTAAAGTTTAAAATACACTGGCCCTAAAGGAATACATATTTAAAAAATATGTATACTATAGATCAGTGCAAAAGTGAAAAAAAAAAAACAAAACGAAAAGCAATTAATTAATATATAAATATATCTTTAAACAAAAAAGCAAAAAATCTAGTAGGCAAAATGTTATATACACATTTTTTGCTCAGTATTATGTTTTAAACTACATTTAAGCGAGTTATTGTTTCCTGTTTATATTTTTTTGTCGTAAACCCTATTTTTACGATTTTTTCTGTTTTTCGATTTCGAGTTTGATTTTTTCTTCTTCTTCAACAAACTCCCTGCGATGGCAATTAAGATTAATGAGAAATCTAATTATATATCACAATTACATCTACAAAGCGATATATATATTTTTCGTTTTATTTAAACGTTTTACTTAAATGTTAATTGAAAAAATACACACACACACACAAACAAATTTGTGAGAAAAAAAAATTACAATAAATATTTTTTCTTTTTTTTTTTTTTGCTTAGCATGTTAAGTAGTTCATTATATTATGTAAAACATATAAAATAAATAAATGAATATAAATCTATTTGAAATGGTTTTCTTTACTGGAGAAATTAAACGTGATTTGGTAATATTCTGCCGTTCACGCCTTAATTAGTTGAAGGCGTTACTTATCGGGCGACACGAAAGCGAAGCTAATTTTCTACTATTTCCGTACTTATATTGAAGTTTTATGTGATGGAGTCAATTTTACCGACTTTTGGATACCTAGTATGAAGGTTTTTTACTACGCTTGAGTGTTACTCAAAATAATTTAAAGACTTAAAACTGAGAATTAAATCCCCAACAGATGGGCATCTTATTTAATGAATTTAATAATTTAATAATTACTGAACTCGAAAGAGGCCAGCTAACTACGACTAAATGGACGACTGCTGCACTCAGAGGACGATGGCTTCGTCCTGCTGGAACTGTTTGTTCTTGCGTCGCCGATTGGACTTGATCTTGCTGAGCACACTGTAGGCCTGCTGGATTTCGATAAAGCGCTGGTGGGCCTGAGCCCGCAGAGCCTCGTCCTTGACCTTGTCGGGATGGTGCTCCTTGGAGAGCTTCCTGTAGGCGGCGGTGATCTCCGCCTGCGAAGCGGTGGCACTCACGCCTAGCACCTTGTACGAGTTCCTCTCGCCATCCACGTCCATGCTCTCGAACACCTCCTTCCATGTCTCGTACCACCCATGATGTTGGGCATAGTTGTAGGTGTCCAGCAGCGCCTGCTTGAGGTCGGTCCACCAGGCGGAGGCCAGGAAGTTGTGGAGGGCCTCGTGGATGGGCACCTCGCCGCCGTCCTCGTCCGAAATGGTGCCATTGAAGTACAGGAAGCTGCCCCAGAAGGCGCAATAGATGATCACAGCGGTGGTCAGCTTGAAGGTCCTTTCGCCGGCGCTTCCTCGTCGTGGTGGGGTTCTGCGCCACTGCTTGGACAGCCCATCGAAGGTCAGCGCGGAGACGAGGCCAGTGAGCAGCAGGGAGTAGGTCTCGTCGTAGATGAGATACCTGGCCGGATAGGCCAGATAGGCGGCCAAAAGGCAATGCCACCAGACGCCCTGCTCACGTCCAATGTTGCCGACCAGCCAAACGCCCAACGACACGAAGAGCGGTATGGCCCAGTGGAGGATGCTCAGATCCCAGCCACCGACAAGCGTTTCCGGTATGGCCATGGAGCACACCTGGCCAAAGAGATGGCCGATCATCACCTGGCCCACGAATCGCTTTGAGGAGTATGTGGGTTTCGGGTACGCCTGCAGCTTGGCCACAAACTGCTTGACGAATCTCGGATCCTCGTTGGCATCCCGCACATACTCGGGGATCAGGAAGAGCTCGCCCATCCAGCCGATGCCCATGTAGCCACCCAGGGTACACCACCAAATGAAGGCGTGGCGATCGCGGTGCAGATACAGATGGTGCAGCCCGAAGATTCCACCAAAAAGCCAGCAGAGATAGGCCACCACCACCGATTTCTGTGGCGGCAGAGCGTTCATCTCCTTGTTTTTGCCCTTGCTCGGGATCTGGATGCCATTGGACTTCGATTTTGATGAAGATGCGCTGGGAGGATCGTTGGATTTGCCCTTGCTGGCGACTGGGGAAACCGTCTGCTTGGTGCCCATGGTGCTCCAAGTGGGTTACTAAAACAAATGGAGACTTTTTTTTTATAAAATAGTTTGATTATACACAAACTTCGAAGAAAAAAATCTCATCGTTTGAAATTCTATGAAATTGTTCAAATCGCATTGGACTTTTTTACACCTTTTGCCATTTAAATTTTATCAAGTTACAAGCTTTTATCATGTTTTTAGGACAACAGAAATTGAGAACAAACAAAATTAATAAAAAAAAACCCCGATTATGACTTTAAATTATATATTTAAAACCAGGAGCATATCGGAATCTAAAGAAATATCATTCTTTTTAGGTCACTTTATACAGGAGACATTTACCTACACTCAATCGACCTCGATTTCTTGTGAAATTGTCGCTGCGCAGGCGCACTTTTTGGCCACGACTGTAAATGGTAGAAAGAGAGGCGGGGAAAGACGCAGCGGCAGAACTTTCTCTTTTCACAAATTCTACACACGAAGTAACAACAAAACAGTTAACTGAACCACAGAAAAAAAATATATAGAACACGTTTACTGATGCGATTTCTTTTAGACGGTTTTTTTACTTTTTTCTTTAAATAATAATCACAACGACTAAAATAAGACTCGCAGTAACAAAGTTTGTTGTTTTGCGGGCCGGATCAAAAAATTGAATAAAAAAAATCAACTTGTTGCTGGTAAAGCTTAGTGTGACCAGATTGTTATGTCGGCTGAAATACTAGTGATCTAAATGAACTAAAAAGTGATGTTTAAAAAATTGTTTTTAGTGTTCCGTTTCTTAAGATCTTTGATTTTCCAGAATATATTTGAATTGTACTAAATTCTGACATCAGGTTTTTAATGTTTTTTATAAATAAAATTTCCTAAATTCGATTATTTCTATTAAAAATGCTTTTAAAAATTAAGTACTTTTATTTCCTTTTTTGTCGCTTAATATGGCATACTCGCATATTTTGCGTGGCTTACATGTATAAAAAGAATTGGTTTTCGATAATTTGACACATTATTTGAGCTTTTACAATAACCTTAGCCTATGATTAAAGTAGAAATAAAAATCAAATTCAATGGGATATACCGACTAAACTTGTGATGAGAAATTCTTGATGGCAGGTGTGTTATGAATTATACAGAATTTAGAATAAGTTTTAAAATATTGTGTTGAAACCAAACTGCAATTAATATTCTGTTTCATCTGACACAGTAACTATTGTTTTTGAATTTAAAAAATCCATCGGCGCACCTGCATACTTTGTTATGTAATACTTTCATTTTTGATTAATAAATAGAAGTTAAAAAAAAACATATTGTTTAAGGGCTAATATTCCGGAACCAGCTCCGGACTTAAGATGAGTGTAGTTTGCTGGTCTTTAAGGTTCGCCGCTTAGTTGTTCTTCTTCTTGGGCTTCTTGGGGTTGCGGGAGCGCGACTTGGCCTTGCAAAGCGGACAGATGGGCGCATTTCGGTGGATCTGCTGGTGGCAGGATAAACAGGACTTCATCGGCGGCGGCTGCTGACGGAGATTCACATTGAAGTCAGAGCGGAACGACGGATGGTGCCCGATGCCGATGGAGGGCGATTGCTGAAGTCGATTGCTGGGCGGCGGCGGTGGTGGTGGTGCTGAGAAATCGCCCTTGCCCAGACGCACTGCAGCAGCGGCCGCAGCGGCTGCGGCAGCAGCACTGCCCGCTCCCGGTGGTGCGGGCGGCATGAAGGCGTGTCCCGGATTTCCGCCCCCGGCTCCTGCACCGCCTACAGATCCGCCACCACCGCCAGCTCCTCCTCCGCCGCCTCCTCCTTGGCCTCCGGTCGACGGCAGGGCGGTCACTGTTGCCTCTGGCATCAATGGATGCCGGGCGTGCGGACGGGCCAGCGACGAGGTCTGATTAACCGAGGCCGCCGCGGCTGCTGCAGCCGCAGCTGCTGCCGCCGATTGGGCGGCTACCTTAAGAAAGTTGGTCTGGAAGCGATCCTTGGAGATGGGACTGCCTTCCTCCTCGTGCAGATCCCTCAGCGGACTGAGTCCCAGATAGTCCCGTCGCATGTGGTCGATCTGGTACTTGAGTGCCAAGTACTCCTCGTACACTCGGTTGGCCATGTCAAAGGAGCGCGTCTGGTTCTCTTTCGTCTGCTTGATGATGTTCTCCATATCGTTGATATCCGCATGGATCTGGCGCAGCTCCTCCACGTGCGACATCTTCTCCTCGAGCAGGTGCTCCATCTCCTTGCGGTACTCCTCCAAACACTTCTCCTCGTCGTCGCTCAGTTTCACCTCCTTGATGATCCGCACCTTCAGCTTTTCCAGCGACAGGGTCTTGTCGCGTATATCCTTGATGGCCTCCAGTTTGGCGTAGTAATGCCGCTCGTTCGAGCTAGAAATCTCGCTGGTGGCCATTTTCAATCCAAAGCGCTCTGTGTGGTATTCTTGGATGAAATATTTTCGGAAGACTCGAGTGTTTTTTTTTTTTGCTTGGGCCCCCTCCCCTGGCCGAATGTTTATTTAGCGCTTTTCAACCAGTCTTTTGATGCGGTGTTAGGTTTATCAGTTGGTCCTCGGGCATCTGATTATGTGTTTGGATTTCGGGGTGGTAGTTCTAATCAGTGGGCAACTTTTAATTGACTTTTTCGCTTTTTATTCAATTTTTTCGCTGCTTTGTGTATATTAGAGTAGAGCTGGACGAAAACTGATGTTTTCACGATACTATCGATGTATCCGAAACTATCAACTATCGATATTTTCGTTGAAACACTGATTGGCAGTGGAAAACGGGATTTTTTAGGGAGTTCACATCTTGTGTTGAAACCATTTTCCCATCTGGTAACACTCGGGTGTAGATCGGATTTGGATTCGGAGTCGGATTTAAAATCGAAAGGGGGCTTGGACAAAGAATCTTGTTCTGGTCATGATTTTCCAGCCGCGAATCGTCAACTCTTGTTGATGTTGTGCATACATAACAAAAGCGATCGCAGAAAGAGAGACGGGCACGGACAATGCGTACGCGAGCGTGTGTGAGTGAGACATTCCATAAGTGATTCATTCCGCAATATAATAAACAAATAAATAAATCGGGCGGTGTAAACTAAGGCGAAATGTTTGGCGAACTGTGTCAACAAGTTAAGGCCGTAAAATAACAGTGCAATATTAATATGTGTGGGAAATCAGTTTGATTTTACAAGACTCTTTTTGCGCCCACCACTCTCTTCGTCTCTTTTTGTCAATCTTTGTTTTCGTTTTTTATTGTTGTGTTGTGTGTGTGAATATAAAAAGAAGTTAAGTTATCCACGCATAAATTGCATACAACATTTCGACAAGGAAAAAGCGAAAGGTAAAAGTGTTTTTATGGTCTTTTTGAAAGCCGAGTTGTTCGGCTCTCTTTTTCTGCGGGCTCCGAATATGTATATTTTCTCCCAAATGCGTTCTAATCAATCCGTGTAAATATACGGGTGGTTTACTTGTGTTGGTTAGTTGATAACTTTTGACACAGCTCCGTACCAAGTTGTAATATTCTTTTCATTATAATTATGCATCAGATTTTTTGGGTTCAGTTCAAAATTTAAAATAAATTCGTTTTAATATTGTTTTTTAAATACTAGTTAAGTTATAACTGGTCTAATACATACCCGTTGTGATTAAAAAGAAAAAAATAAACAATACAAATTTTGAATACCTCTGTTTACCGGCAGTGTGTGTATGTTGCATAGCAGATACATTTTGACACACATATTTCGCTACTAACTGCTTATCGCTCTCGTTTGCCATTAGTGTGTGCGAGCGAGACGGTTGACACCTGTTGCTTCCCCGCTCGTCTATCTTTTTTCCCCCGATCTGTGCCTCTCTTTTGGCACATTTTGTTGCCGTTCTTAATTGTTTGGCAATTAAGTCAATTATAAACATATTAAGCCAGCCGACACACATTCTCCGATTTAGTTTAGTTTTCCCTTGACTTTCGCAGCCGAACCAATAAGCAATCAATTCAAGGCAAAAGTACCAAATTAGGCCAAGAATCGACAACCCTCTTACGATCTCTCTTAGCTAAACAAATAAATAAGATACAAAAGCCCAAATGATTGTTGTTGTTTGTCAAAGAAACATCAACCATTGGATGAAAACTTTGTAATTTATGCAGTGTTAATTTCTTTATACAACCGGGTATAGAGCACAAACCCAACGGGAAAGGCACTATTTTATGTATTATTGTTATTAACTTACCATTTACAAACATCGAAGCAATCACGTTTTTAGCTAACATTAAGCGTTGTCTTAGTTATCTCTCAAAACACTCCTGTTATCGTATCTTCTTAAACGGTTTTTGTTGTTAAAAAAAATTGAACATATGTAAGCATTTGTTAACATTGTCTGGTTTTCTTAGTTCTGCAATCACAGCCAATATAATGCCATCCGCTCCTAGAATTTCCTTACTGAACCAAGCGCAATGAGGTGAAGATCAAGGGAGTAGCTTCACGTATTCCCCCCATAATGGTAATCCAGGTAATCAAGTGTCTGGACCCCTGCTCCCCCTCTAACGATCACCTGGTGGCTTCTTCTACCTGTCTTCCACCGGTGTGCGGCGGTTTTTTCTGTGTGTAAATCAAATCACAAATCGATGGCAACTTACATACGACAAAAAATGCTGTCAAACAACTTCGAAATCGAGTCGCGAGTCGCCAGTCGCGAGATCGCTTAACCCCAGTCTGCCCCTCGGTTCTTCGGGCTCCCCTCTTATATAATTGGGGCCATGGAAGCGTTAAGTCTGTGCCCATTTCCTCCAGTTTTTATTTTTGCACCATGCCCCATGAATACGATCCAGGAATGAGAGACGAACAGTTAACTCAGCTTATTTTTACTGTCGCAGCTCTTATCGCGCTTATAAACATAAACAAAAACAAAGCTCAAACTCAGAACATGAATCACATAGACATATGTACATACATATATACAATACACAGCGAAAATATCTGTTATAAACCATCAAAAGCAATCGTACTATCATTTCTTCTTTATCTTCAGTAAACACATTATTATGTAATGCACTTACCTTCTTTCCTTGGCGTCATAACGAATACGTTTTGCTTACTTACTAGAAAATTGCACACACCTGAACTGGGTTTATTTTTCTCCGTGTACTATCGTATAGCCAATGCACTTGGTCCATGGAAACTGCTGTAATTAGCAAAATAACAATGCAACAAAAGAAGAACAGCATAAACGAGCAAAGGGAGAACGCCAGTGATTCATGCGAATAAACGACGATCCAATCGCAAGTGCGCATGAATGCAACATTTTATTTGCATGCAAACATATAAATATGAACTACATGCGTCCGCTAATATTTTGCATATAAATAAGCATATAGATTTTTGGTCAGGTCAAATATTATCGCAACGGAAGTACGCCTTATTAGATCGTATAACTACGCGAAAAAATAGAGCAATGTGCGGCAGCGAAATGCGATATATAAGTATATATGTACATATGTATATCAACGTTGGCTTAAAGACCACCCAAATGGATTTATAGTCGTGCCAGTCGTTATCAAAAATAAATTTTTAAGTTGCCATTCCAAATTTCAGTAAAGGCAGTTGAAATAATATTAGATATTTTCTTTAGTTTAAAAATTCTGACTGAATCATTGCAAATATCAATTTTTGTGGAATTATTGTTAATATTTTTTGAAGACCTCATCGGGGTTTTTGGCTTTTGGCAGCTTAATGTTTCTCAGGGGGAATCAATCAATATAATTGCAGTTTCCATTTTGTTTACATTGATAAGCAAGAGCACTCGTCTATCGCCGGCCATTCATGATCCAAACGCACTCTCAACGCTCGGCATATTGGCTATATAATTATCATTGCTGAGTGAATCGTCATTGCTATCACTCTTCATGCCCGGCCACTATTAATACGAACGATATCTGGACAAAGGCATACATATACAGGGAGAGTTCTATAGTATATGGGGTATATGTGGAAGGTATAATTCGCAACTAGCAGACGAAAGTGTGACACATCTTTGTGTGGCGACGGTAAATGAAAAACAAATTCTTTCATAACAATACAAGCGTTATTTTAGCAAAAGTATTAACATATAATTTAAAAAGACTTATTTTACTTGTACCACTTTAGTTATGGAACGCACTGTAGGGCAGTCCACATGGCCACCGAATCTTTTAAGTGAATGTGGATTTATGATTGTGTGTGGCAAAACAATTGATTCACTTGGCCAGCACTGGGTTATTATATGTATTTCTCTACGTGTGAGAGAGCGTAAAATTTGAAATTCGATTGGAATAGCAGAGCACGATTAATCATCAGCGAGGAGACACTAGAGGGGACGCAGTTGCCGTAGCTAGTATTCCCGGAAAACAATATAGAGTCCCATCTAACGTGAGTCATCCGTCAGGTTCATTCATTCAGCATTCAACTTATCCAAAGAGAAGTGCCAGCGACAATAACCGCACAACAACAATGGGTTCGTTTAAACTTTAAACGCTTATAAACAAAATAATCGAGTCCCGGGGAAGTGGACCATTGGAGGAAAACTCCCGTTTGAAGTGGGGCGAGCACTTAAGCGACAACGGCTGCAATTCGCGGACTCCCCAGATGGTCCGACTCAACCCAACCCAACCCAACCCATCGTATCGTATCCCACTCCTATCCGATCCGATCTGGTCTGGTCTGATTCGGAGCCCCCACTTCGGAGTCTTTCGAGAGTTGAAAAGTTCAGGGAACTGCGCTGGAAGCAAAGCGAGTCCATGGGAGGGCCAGCGAAATTAAGACCATCAATGAAGAAGTGTTGTAAACAAGTCTCAAATGCCAGTGCCTTGACTCTTAAAAACTATTTAGTTTTAAAGTGGTTTGGCCAGAAATGTGTGGGTATCCAAAAAGATCACAATACCACAAAATAAAATAGGAAGGGTTCTGTTATATAATTATTTTTGCTGGGTTTATTTACTTTTTAACACAATTAAACATACTTAGAACTAAGTTCCTTTATCCCCCTGTATTTGATGATCCCTAATCTTCTTCACTCGCTTCATTTGCTTGGAAATTTGCTAATAATTCCACTCAAGCAGCTTCGATAGTGTTTATTTAAATCCCAGTTTCATTCCAACTGAGTAAACAATCTGCTGAAAAACGCTGACTTTGAAAGCGGAAAGTGAAAGCGTCGCTGCGAGTGGGAAAAATGAATAATGACCGATCGAAGAAGCGAATTTTGTTGATCTGTCAGGAATAAATGCAAACACGTGTCTTTAATTTCCGCCATCTCAGCGATTTTAGTTGTCCCCTTGTGTGTGTGTGGCCACTTAAAAATTCCAAATACTTAAACATAATCTGAGCGTAAATTATATAAAATAAGCTAATTGTCCGTCGGCTGCCAGTCTAATTGGAATAATCCAGACGCCTTCGGGCCAAAGCCAATCGGATGAGTCTGCGCTGCTCCAATTCCTGCAGTTGCTGCTTGACGAGCAGGCGATGCAGTAGCTCCACTTTGGCGTACTCCTGGGCCTTTCGCTGCACCCTCTCCTGCTGTTCCACCACGAAGGCCTCCATGGTTTGCGAGATTGCGCTGCACTTCTGCACTTCCTCCTCCTCTTCGACCGTTCTTGTGTGACTCCAGTAGCTGAGCTGGATGAACTGCAGCAGCAGGTGAATCAGGTGGCTCCAGAAAGTCAGTGAGGATTGGTAGAGTTCAGCTAGTCTGGTGGACATGTCAACGGCTTGGCTATTCAGCGATGAGTGTGAGGGTCCAAGCTAAGCTTAGAGTTTATATACTGCAAGAAGTTACCTGAGTGGAGTTACCTACTGTGGAGTCCCTAAATGCAGGGGTTTAACCCTTAAGACCATATGCTGCCTTATCAGGTAGCCCCGAAAGTCAGATTTAGATTAGATTTTCGGGATAAACCCCATTACCTAAGAGGAGAAGATCCTTTTGGATTGTCAAGCTGAAACCCTTTATCAATATCTTTATTTTCCTAAATACCTGAGTCTTTGGTAGTATCTATTTCGTTACCTAACGAGTTTACATGAGGTAAATGTTATTCCAATGTAAGGTGTTTAACCAATATTGCATCTTTATCCGCAGATTCCGCCATGGAGCAGGCGCGTCCTGTGCCCGCCCCCCGCCGCATTTACCCGGAGCTGCGTCCCGCCAACTACGAGAACATAGAGATCCGACCCCCGCCGACCAACAACAATATCAACAACAACAACAACATCAAGCAGCTCAACATAAATGCAGAGAATCTGCATGGAAGCCTGGCGGAAAAGAAGCTGCCGTCGAGCGGGCAAAACAAGTTGATTCTGCAGGAGAACAACTCGGATAGTCAGCAGCCGATCTACGGTCCGGATGCCAATGAGAATGTCCAGGAGCCGGTCTATGCAACGCCAAGACCAGCTCCCCGCCAGCGAATGCCTGCAGCCGAGGAATCCGGTCGAGATCCAGACCCCGAACACGAGGACGAGGTGCCCCTGAGGATTCTGAGGGCGGCGCCGCAGGTTCCGCCCAAGCCACTCAATGTCCCGCCCAGCGATCAGCGAGCCTCGATCTGCAGCGAGGTGTCCACCACCAGTGTCCAGATCCCGGGGAGAGCCGACGAGGATCGGGATGGATCGCGGTACGCGTCCAACGCATCGCTGGACTGCAGCGAGAGTTCGCAGAGCGGCAAGTTCAAGTCGCAGTCACCCGGGTACGTAGACGCCGACTCCGTCGATTCACCCGTTCCGCGGTCGCAGGATCCAAACGGGGACGATTCACAGGCAGAGTCCTCGGCGGAACTGTCCTCCTCCTCCTCCGGCAGCCAAGAAGGCGACGACGACAAGTAAACTTTGACCTTTGATTTATACAACTTGGTTTCTGCCACCCTTTGCCCAGCACTCCCCTAGTTTTTGGTGGGGTTTCCCTTTGTTTTTTGGCTTGACACGGCAACTAACCCTACACGAACCACACACTCTTGATATTATTCCTACAAAACTCTATATCTTTATCATTTATGCACAGAAAAATGGGAACACCAAGTTTTAATTCGTTCGCGTTTTTTATATCGTGAACGAATTTAAAATATGTAATCTCTGTTTGGTTGTTGATGGTTTTTTTCTCCTTGGTTGTGGTAAAAAAAACACACATTTTTGTATTTAACTTGTTTATCATCTGAAGCTTAAAACAAACACGATTAAATAGGCATATACATTTTTTCGAAACTGCTCTATGGAGCTAAATTCGCTAACATTTTATCTCGTTTATTGGAGCCTCTTCTAAGCGATAATATGTCTTATCGAGAATTTATCAGTTTCTGCGGTCATTAAGAATGCCATTTGAATGCTTAACGCTGTTTAATTGTAGGATTTTGATTTCCTTCAGTAGCTTAACTTCCTGTAAAACCCACAGCTGTTTCCTAAATTTACATATTAAATGATCTTAAATGATCTATTTTGGGACTAGCATAAACCCTGAATTCAGTAACAGCTCTCTTGATTTATGAAGCTCCCTACTTTTCCCCAACTTCTCCTGGGTATTCAGGGTATTTATTTCCAAGTTCACTTCCGTCGGCTGTCACGAGCCGCGTCCTTATAAATAACCTGGCGTCTGTTCAAGATCAATGACAAGCGGAGTTAACTAAAAATAGTCCAGCGGAACATCTGAGGATCGTTTTTCACACTCCAATCGGAGTGCTGTGCGCTCGGGGAATTTTCAAGATCAATCGCTCTGAATTCGCGTAGTCGAAAGGAATAGTTTGGGAACTGTTTAAACTTTAAAGTAATTTGGAACCCTCTTTGATTAAATGCAATTTGCTATTTAAAATTGCCCAGCTAAAATATCTAATCATTGGTTTTAAGTTGTTGGGAGTTTTTTCTTATGTTTACCTACTTATAAGAAACATTTGGAACATTGGTAAAAAGATTCGATTTTGTTTTGGGTTTGCCTTGCTTTTTGAACTCCTATTGAACCCGAAATCCTTTTGTGGCCTAACATTTGTAGATTTGTTTTTGGATCCTACTTACTAACCTTCGGGGGATTGGCTTCCTTTACCGAACACTTCATTCGATAACTAACGAATCATCTTCCTTCCTTAGCAACCTCCTGCGGTCGCTGGGCACCACATCCAAGCTGCTGGGCGAAGCCATCGGCGAGCGGATCACGTTCAAGGCGAAGGGAGCCAAGAAGCGACTGGACAGGAACCTCAAGAGCTCCACGGAGGCGATCAGTACCCTGGGAGCGGATGCGGGTCGGAGTTTGAAGCACGCTGGCAAGCGGTTCGGTTCCAATTTCAGTCTGGGCAGGCCGAAGGACAAGGCGGAGGGCGGCGGCGGCGGAAAGGCAGGAGGATCGGGGGAAATGGACCTGGACAGGCGGCAGACGATGCCCAACACGGAGGTCTTCAGCTCGATCCAGTTCTCGAGTCCCCTCAACCGGAACGGAGGACTCTCCGATCTGCGGGAGAACGAGGCAGCGAAGCTGGAGAAGCTGCAGAAGGAGCAGCAGAAGGAGGACGACGGCTGCTACGAGGTGCCGCGGGCGCAGGGCAAGCCGCCCAGCTACGACGAGGCACTGCGGGCAAGACCCTCGCCCAGCGCCTCGCCGATGGCCAGGAATCTCGCCCAGGAGGCGGCCCAACTGGTGCAGCTGCGCGGCCAGCAGCGGCAGTTGAGTAGCAGCTCCTCGAACGGAGACGAGTCGCCGCGCCTGCCGATGCCCGCCTTCCCGCCGCCCCGCCTCTCCCAGCAGCCGGAGCAGTTCCGGCTGGACGCACTGCAGCCGCCGGTTCGCCAGAAGCGGCGCAAGAACTACGAGCACATCGAGCTGCGGCGACCGCCCGTCGACTCCGCCAAGCTGGAGGAACTCAATCAGGCGGCGGCGGCGGCGGAGCGCGAGGAGTCCCTGCTGATCTCCGCGAAGAATGCCGAGGCGGAGGCCAAGGCACCGAAGCCGGAGCGCAGCGACTCCTGGGAGTTCTACGGCGAGGATGACGACGAGAGCGAGGACGAGGAGGAACAGGAGGGCAGCTCCTCGCCCGAACCGGTGTACGCCAACCAGGAGGCCACCTACGGCAAGCTCTTTGAGATGGCCACCGCCGGGAGCAGTCGCAGCAATGTCCTCACCCCCCAACCAAGTGGCCGAGCAGCTGGCATGCATCGCCGAGGACGCGGAACTGGACGGCGGCGAGGGAGCCGTGGGCGGAGTGCCACTCCCACTGGCTCAGTCGTTGATTGAGGAGTTCGATCCGCTGAGCAGCAAGTGCTCCACGCTGGCCAGGTCGAACAAGAGCAACGAGCTACTGCTGCTGGAGCACCTGCTCGAGGAGGACACCTACGGCACGGTGAAGGCGGAGCAGGACGACGTCAGCATGTGCACCTCCGAGGAGGAGCCCTCAACCTCCGCTGGACTGGCCGGTGGATCTACTTCCACTGCCACTTCCACTCCCACGAAGCCCCAGCAGCCGCAGATAGTGCACCAGAATGCCCAGCTGCTCAGCGACAGCATGGAGAACATGCTGGACTCGCACCCGAACCAGGACAGGATCAGGGACGAGGAGGAGCGGGTCAAGCCCTATCTCAGTCGCATGCCGGAAACGGCGAACAAAGTTAACAGTGGTTCCGTGGACTTGGCCAGTGCCTCCAGGAACCGCACCAATTGGTTCGTGGCGGAGAAACCCGATGCCTCGGGAGCAGCGAGTTCCAGTGGAAAGTCCACCACTCCCATCGAGGGCGACAGCCCGCCCACTTATCTGGAGGCCATCGGGGGCGGCAAGGATGCCACGTCGAGCGGCCAGGAGAATCGCTCGACCATCGGCTCGCGCTTCCGGCAGACGATCAACGCGTTCTCCAACGTGAAGCTGCGCATGGATGCGATGAAGCGGAAGGCCAGCTTCCGGGCGGCCAACCAGCGGCAGTCGGACGTCAAGGTGGCCCTGCAGATGGTGCCCCGACCCAGTTTGTCGCCCCTGCTGGTGCGCTACGAGGGTCCGCTGGTGCGGTTCCCCTCGGGCGTCGTCGAGGACATTCTCAAGGAGATGCAGAACCGGAAGGCCATACTCAGGGAGCGCCAGTTCCAGACGTTCCTCGACCAGGAGATGAAGACCCCGCGCGAGATGATCCCGCTCGACACGATCACCACGCTGCAGTGCGTGAGCAACAGCCGCGTCACGGACACGGCCACCCACTTCTACTGCTTCGAGATCACCACCTCGCAGCCGAAGAACGGCGCCGGAGCCGGGGACACCATGTCCTCCAACCCCAACCTCCTGATGACCAGCAGCTCGTCGGGCAACGTCAAGCAGCAGCGCGTCTCGCATCTCTACGGCGTCGGCAAGGAGTCAGAGCGGGGAGTCTGGATGCAGAAGATCCTCGAGAGCCTCACCAACAGCCTGCCGGTGAAGTATACCTGCCACTACTACCGCGCTGGCTGGTGTTACCTCAAAGTAAGCACCCTAAACCACTTCACTTTAAAGGAAACTAAAACTGATCTCTTCCATCCACAGAACTCCATCACCTCGGAGTGGAGTGGCACGTGGCTGGTGCTCCGCAAGAACCAGCGACGCCTGATCTTCGTCAGCGAGGCCAACGGCAATGTGGAGAAGATGGACCTGCGCAAAGCCCGCTGCATTGGTAAGCGACTCCCAATTGAAACCGAAATAAATCCAGCCACTTAATCAGCCATTTCTGTACAACTTAGTGCTCAAGGAGAGCGACGAGTCCATCGACAATCTGCATGTGGAGAGCGGCCCCATGCTGATGATCGACTGTCCGCCGTACGCGGTCTACATGATCATGAGCTCGGCCCGCGAGACGAAGATCTGGCGGCACATCATCCGCGAGGTGGCCCACAACAATGGCTTCTCGCTGGGCGACCAGCAGCTGACGCGCTACGATGTGCCCGTAATTGTGGACAAGTGCATCAACTTTGTGTACATCCACGGCTCCATGTCGGAGGGCATATACCGCAAGTCCGGCTCGGAGAACTCCATGCACAAGCTGATGAGCGCCTTCCGGGCGGACGCCTTCAATGTGGAGATCACGCGCAACGAGTACAACGAGCACGACGTGGCCAATGTGCTGAAGCGCTTCATGCGCGACCTGCCCGAGCGATTGCTCGGCAAGCTCACCGACAGCTTTGTCTTCGTCACCGAACTGGCGGTGGCCACCGAGAAGATCCCCATCTACCGCGAGCTCCTCGCCCGCCTGTCGGCCATTGAGCGCGAAACGCTGCGCCGGATTGTCGGCCATCTCGTGTTCATCAGCTCGCAGCAGGCCAAGAACAAGATGAGCGTCCAGAACCTGACCATGATCTGGGGGCCCACGCTGCTGGCCAAGAAGGTGAATTGGCGAGCCTTAAGCAGAAGATGTGTTGATTCAGAAAATATCTTATATTTCTACATCACTCAAATGAATAAGCAATGTTTAAACCAGCGACTGAAAGTGTTTCATCTACTGCAAAAAGCAAATGCTTTAAATACTTGTATCGCATTAAGATGAATTATTTATGTTTCTAAAACTACATTAGATGTCAAAAGTTAACTGAAATGATTTACAACCATTTATCAATATTAATTCGGTGAAAGGCTGCTAAAAACGTTGTCATTTACATTTGTTTTTAACTTTTCTGTGAAGTAATTGCAACTGAATTTTATTTTCACTTACCGAATTCCTTTTTGTTATTTACAGAGCGACGAGCTGATCTACTCGCAAAAGGAGGCGGATGTTCTAAGCGATCTGATAGTGCTCTACAAGAACCTGTTTCCCTGCAGTGCTGACGAAATAGTGAGCTTAGCCCAGCATCAATTTTAACTTCTGATACTTAACAACATTTTTGTTTGCACGTAGAAACGAGAGCAGGCCATGCTGGCATGTCTGCAGAAGTATTACGCGGCCGCCGAAACGCTCAAAGATGCAGTGAAGCAGTCCGGAGACATCAAGATCTGGATCAGCCTTAATCCAAATCCAGACAACAAAACAGAGGTGGAATATATTTTTAAAAGAGCTTCGAACATGGAATTATTAACTTTTTTCTGTTTACTTGTTAAAGGAAAAGACGCAAGTGAACGCCACCATTTCGCCGACGAAGACCGCGTACGAGCTGTGCCGCGAGTACTCCGCCAAGATGCAGCTGCCCACCCACCAGCTGACCCTCTACGAGGTGATCCTGAACGACAGCTTGGAGCGTCCGCTGCACCACGACACCAGGGTGTTCGATGTGATCCTCAACTGGTCCTATTGGCCGGAGGAGGATCGCAAGCACAACTATTTGGTGGTGCGTCCGGTCGAGATGCTGCGCGAGATCCAGCGGGCGGTGAAGAATCTGGCCACCGTAACGCCCGGCAAGGAGCTCCGTTTCGCCGACTCGCGCACCAAGACCTTCAAAACGCTGCAGTGCGAGCTGCGGGACGGCAAGATTGTGGTGTCCAAGAAGGACAAGAACGACAAGACGACCATCGTGCGCGAGATCTTCCTGCAGAGCAGCACGGCGTATTTGGGCTGCGAGCGCAAGCGGGACTTTCCTTGGAGCTGGGCCATCACCTTCGTGGAGCGGACGCAGGCGCAGATCATGAGGTGGGTCTGGGTCATTCATTCATCGGTGCCTTTACCCGAACTGAATCTAAAAAATTGTATGTGCTTGCATTGAACAGATCGCGCGACGCCCCCTTTATTGGCCACGTGCTGGCTGGCAGCGAGTGGATGGACCGAACCATTTGGTATTCGAGCATCTGGTACTGCCTGTACAAAGACAACATCCTGCCGCCAGCGGAGATCATCATTAAGTAGAAGTGGGAGTGGATGGGCCCTCTCCCAGCTGCCAATCATAGTTTTTACGCCTTCTGCATTTTTCTGTGGGTCTCGTGTAGATATTTTGAATTTATTCGCAGCAACTAGTGACTATATACACTTAGCAATATTTTTACGAAACATTTCGAGGGTTATCCATTATTTCGAATAGAGCATACGAAGCGTATATATAGTGCGAGTATATATTTTTTACACATTCTCTGTAAATATTCATGTTCACTCAAAAACCAAAATGTACACTAGTGTAAGGAAATGTAATTGTATAATTAGGAATATGCCATTTGTCTTCAACATAGTTTGCTTCCTTATACGTTTAATCGTGGGGAACTAACTATTAGATAGAACACGGCCACGCAGAGCATCAAATTGTAGCTTAGTTCACGATTTCGTAATATATTTATGCCATTTTTTAAATGGAGCATACATTTATATCCCTCTTGATTGTAAATGTTAACAAACCATTTAACTAATTAAACAGAGAGTTTAATAATAATAAATCAAATTTTTTTTAAATATTACCATAGAATATTACTTTAAAGTTATAGATATTCTGGTAAGTAAGAGTGTGGTGGGTACCACCGTGTTTACCATTAAATGTCCAAAATTTGACTCCCAAATGCATACTACTCTTTTTTTTAAGCGTAACTGACCAAAATAATATTCATTAAACACTTAATTTTGGTTAAAAAATTAATAAAAGATAACTAAAAAGTTATGGGGTTTTTAACAAAATTGTCAACTAATCTTTTTTAACTCAGTTTTTATCAATTTACTCAAGGATAAGTTAATTTGCATTCAGTGGCATAGATAGTTGGGCTTTTCTAGTTTCCAAAACTATACTTTGTTTGGCTGTAAGTTGTTTTTTGCCCAAATTACCAATGGAAAAAGTTTTTTTTTTGCCCAAAACTACAAAAAATGGCTAAAAAAAACCCAGTTTTTTGGCAATATCTGAGAAAGTACTCTCCCAAATGTGGAGTGGCATACATTGTTGAATTCGTAATAAAATTCTGATTCCGATGGTATAAACATCCAAAAAAGTTGAAATTTTGCCAATTTTCCCAATTTTGGTAAGGGGTAACATCGTCATTTTTTGCGAAAAATTGCAAAATTTCCTTCTTCCTTTCTTGTTGTTCTTTTTATATATAATTCCGCGGCGCAATCATCTACTATGAATTTCTATTTCCCTGGTACTTTTGGTCTTAAGTCCTGCCAATTTGGCTGTCCAAATGGTTTTTGAACACCAGGCGAACATAACCCATAGCAGGCGGTAGCCAAAGAATCTTAAGAATTTTAAGCCAGGTGCCAGACTACCAGCAAATTAAAAACCTTCCAAGAAAACAAGCACAGCTTTGAATATCACTAAAATTTTGCAAACTGCATTTTAATTCGGTTGTTCATTTCCGTTTACGATTTATCATTTTATCATTTTTCGAGAACATTTTGCTTTGTCTTTTTACTTGAATTTCACATACATAGTCGATTTTGTTGTTTGTTTTACAATACATAAAAAGAAATATGCGTGTTATGTATCCATAGTATATACGCTCGTTAATATGTAAATATATATAGTCGTATAGGGTGTTAAGTATATTGATCAAGTAAATATGATTTGACTAATTTTACTGTGTTCCTTGGGTTCGAGTGAGATGGGGTACAAAAGCATGGGTCTGAAAGAGAGAATAGGAAAAATAGTGTGTGTGTGTGTGGTGTGTGAGTGGTGGGTGGGTGAATGGTTTACTGGACGGAGGGGGGTTGGACTGGGAATTTGGTAATTTTTATGGTGCAGGAAAGGGCAAGAAATTTCGGACATTCACTTAATCTGTATCAATATTTTTCTTTACACTAACTAAATGTACAAGATAACAAACGCCAAAATAGGACCTCAACATGGTTAGGATCGGCACTCAAAGATCGGATCTAAATATATATACATCGAGGGGGCCGCGAGATATAGAGAGAGAGAGAGCAGGACAAATGTGGATATTTTGCTTTTATTTTTACGTACTTTTCTTCCCTAAGCGCATGCAAAAGAGTCTAACCTAGTCGTTATATATTTAGCATATGTGTTTTATATATATATATATAACTAGAGGAGGGCGCTGTGCCACTCAAACTATCAACAAGTTCTCTAATGTTAGCTCAAAAAAAAAAGGTAAACTCATATTAATATTATCATCAATTAATAGTTAGAAGAAAATTATACAATCGTTATTTTGGGTCGGGTGCCGCTGGACAGGACTGCGTGGGGGCGTAAACGTGGATGGTGGGGCGGGATGTGGTGTGGGAAGTGGTGCAGGGTGTACATGGTGTGCTGGGTGTGCTGGTGCGTGGATGTGTTGGGGCTCCTCCAAAACGGATAAGTAGTAAAATGCTTAGACATATAAATATAGGCTCTCCTAATGTTAGTATGTAATAATCACATTGACTGCCGCCATTGCCTGTTCGCCGCCTGCCCTCATCAGCTCCCTCCTCCTCCTCCTCCTCTTCCTCTTGCTCCTTCTTCTGCTTAGCTTCCAACTTAAACTCCAACTTGAACTCCTCCTCCTCCTCCGCTGTATCTGCGGACTACATGTGATGCCACTGTGTCGCCATCACATTGGTGTTGTCGTTCAGCCGGGCGATCTCCTCGTGCAGCCCATGGCCGAGCCACTGCAGGAATATCCGGCTGTAGGCCGCCTGGCAGAGTCTCAGCGGATTGCCGCGCCTCAGTCCCATGTCCGTCTCGCCGTACTCGTCCAGGTACGGCGGCTGAATGAGGCAGCCCTTGCCGCGTCCCAGGTACACCACCTGGCAGTCGCGGATGCGCAGGAAGATCCCCACCTCGGCGCCGCAGGCGTGGGCGTGGTGTGTGCACGCCCCCACCGACATCTTGCCCAGCTCCGGCTGGCAGCAGTAGGACTGGCCGCACAGGATGGCGCCGCAGATCAGACACATCGTCGGCGTCTTCATCTCCTCGCGCTCGTTGTTCGGACAGAAGATGTCCGAGACGCTGTTGATCAGATCGCTGTAGTCGTCGTAGAGCGGCTGCAGGCGGGGCAGCGGACGCAGGCAGGGCTCCAGCTGCAGCGAGCGAGCACCGGCTTCCGGCTGGAGGCGCTCCTCCACCTCGCGGTCGATGTGCGGATGCGAGGCGAACGACTGCATCAGCGTGGCGAACACCGTCTCCATGTCGAAGTAGACGCCCAGCCGGGGATCGAGGCCCAAATACTGGCACATCAGCTCGAAGCGGTCCGGCTGATCTGTGGGAAAGGAGTCCGGGAAGTCGACGTCGGTGAGGCAGCGGTAGAAGAGGCACGCGCAGCGCAGGAACGAACGCATCTGCCGCTGCACATACTCGATCAGCAGGGCCAGGTGGTGCGGCTCGCAGGGTATCACCTCCTCCACGGACTGCTTGTACAGCTTGCTTCGCTGGAGCACTCGGGCCGGGATGTTGTAGCGGCGGTAGAAGACCACCATGTTGTCCCGCACGCGCGACGGCAGCTGCTCCACGTACGGCAGCTCGGCGAGCTCGTCGTGCGGCGCCCGCTTGGCCTGCTCCTTTTCCAGGTCGAAGCAGAGCACCGCCTTGGTCAGGTGCGCCACGAACATCGTCTGCAGGATGTAGAAGTCGAACATGCTCCCACTGGGCACGACTGTTTGCGAGGCTGTAGGAGAAGGCAGGCAAGTTTGTTATTGGAGCTACCCTGCAAACGATTCAATTCACACAATTCACTCACAGTTCCACAAGAGGAGGTTGTACACGCCGAACTGGAACGTCACCAGCAGGCGGAAGCAGTCCCACTCGAGCACGCTGTTGCCCTTCTGGTTGAAGACGGTGTCCAGCAGCTGGTCGCACTTGCCCACCTGGAAGCGATGCGCATCGGCGCTGCGAAGCGAGTGCTTCGGCGGCTGCTCGTCCGTCCACGGGGAGGCGGAGAGCAGGGAGCACGCCCGCACCAGGTTGATGGCACAGCTCTGGCTGCGCATCGGCAGCTCGGCCTTGAGGGGCTTCTGCGACTCGAACAGAAAGATCTCGAGCGCCTGCAGCGTGTAGCTGCACGTGTCCCACAGCATCGGCACCAGCTCGGAGTTCTCCGGGTCCACAACGCTGACCGCGGGCAGGTCCTTGAGGTGCGACTGCTGGCTCTGCGTGAGCAGCGCCTTGCCGAGGAAGGCGGCCACGTCGCTGTAGCGCTCGTGCAGCTGCGGCATCCACTCGATCAGCTGGATGCTCCGCTCGAACTGCGCCTTGTCGCCGACGACGCCCGACTTGTGCAGAATGCCCTCCAGGGTCGGGAACGGGCACATCTCCTCGTCCTTCAGCGCGGCCCACTCGGTGGCCAGGGTGCGCATGATCTCCATGAAGCTGTCCGGCGGCAGGTAGCTGCTGTCGCCGACCGCGGGCGTCGGCGGCGAGAAGGTGGACAGCGACTCGATCACCGGCAGCACCGTGTTGCTCAGCGTGCGGCAGTACGGGCAGTGGAACTCCACGTTGGCCGGCTGGCTGAGCGCCGCGCGGTTGCGGTGCGGGCGCCGCTGCTCCTTGGTCTCCTCGTTGGTGTAGTACTCCTGCCAGCAGCTGTAGTGCATCACGTGGCCGCAGCAGCTCATGTGCAGGGCACTCGGCCCGTTGCGCATGTTCGGCGTGGTGAAGATCACGCGCGACGTCTGGACGAAGGCCGAGCTGACCAACGGCGGACCGCTGCGGCTGATGGCACAGTTCTCGATGCAGAGTATGCACTTGAAGTTCGTCTCGGTGCCCTGGTAGAAGCGGCGCTCCGGCCCCAAGCAGGCCACCTGCGGCTTGAGCGCCACGGCGCCCTGCTGCTCCTCGTCCTCCTCGGAGATGTCCTCCCACTCCATGGGCCCCGCCGGATTCTCGCCCGCCTCCTTGTCGCTGACCGCGAACAGCTCGGCGTTGCTCTTCATGAACGACTTCTGGGCGTTCTTCATCTGGGCCATGATCTTGGCCCGACGCTCGGCCGCCAGGCGGGCGCGCTCCTCCTTCTCCTGGCGCACCTGCTCCTCTGAGCTGAGTGGTTGATCCTCTCCTCCTCTATTGCCCTGCTGCGAGCCACTGGGTCCCGCTTCGCTGTCGGCAGGCGCCTGCTTGGCCTGTAGCTCCTTGTACCGCCTGATGGTCCACAGCACAAAGTCGCGATGCGCCTCCAACTGTTCAAGCCGGTTAAGGTGGCTGATTAGCTATTGGTTTCTCCAAAAGTCTGATCTGATTGACTTACCCTCGAACAGCGGGCCAGTTCGTCCAGCTTCTCCAGGATTCCGTACTGCTGCGAACGCTCGTAGAAGCTCAGGAAGGGATAGTGATCGCTCAGCTCCTCTTGGATGGCGAAGCCCAGCAGGTGCAGAATCTAGAATGGAGCAATGGAGAATGAGAGTTCGGGAAACAAGTAAAGATGTTAGTCAACTAACCTTCTGGAGATGCGATTCGGTGAAGGAGCGGCTGCGCGTATCCAAGGCGCGTTCCATAATCAAGGTGCAGATGCTCAGGAACACGTTGCACTGCAGTATATTGGCCATTGATCTGTAAGCTCTCCACTCATTAGTATATAGAGTACAGACAGGTTATTAAGAAGAGCGTAAACTCACGTAAACTCCGGTGTCAGTTGGGGGAGCATTGGCGGCGGACAGCAGACGAGCTCCTTCTTGGCCTTGCGCCGCTCCCGCTGCAGCTCCTCGGCCTTGGACTTGTCCTCCTTGGTGTAGTGGTAGAAGTAGACGTTGAACTCCTCGAACAGGTGCTCCTTCAGCTCGTAGACGCCCTTGCTGTCGACGCCGACTGGTTTCTTGAACACGGCCACCGTGTTGATGACGTCCTCGAAGATGTTGTCGCTGTTCCCGCTATTCCCGTCCGGCAGCGCGCGACTCAGCTCCGAATGGGAGTAGGACTTGGTGCACAGCAGCTGGATGATCTCCTTGCGCAGGCGGTCCTCCTCGCTGACCATCGACACGCCCGGCATCCAGCGCTCGCCGATGATCACGATGAGCAGCTCGAGGAACTCGTCGATCATCGACAGCTGGCGCATGAACTCGTCGTCCAGCGGACTCTCGGCCAGCATGCTCTCGTAGTTGTCCTGCGCCCAGGCGATCAGGTTGAACTTGTTCAGCACGTGGATGAGGAACTCGTTGCTCTCCATCAGCGAGGCGCCGATCTGCAGGCAGACGATGTCCCTGTCCAGCATCTCGACGCGACAGCGCACATTGCGGTAGAAGTAGAGCTGGTGCAGCAGCGAGTAGCCGTTGCGGCGCCACATCCCGGCGGCCACCTGGGCAATCATCGCGTGGGTGCACAACACCGGCTCGATGATCTCGCGCGGCGTCAGCTTCCCCGCCAGGCCCTCCATCTCCGACTGCAGCAGGTCGTAGGTCATCCCGTGGGCGCCCAGGTGCAGATAGATGCCGGCGTAGAAGCGGGAGAGCGGCAGGTGAATGGACACCGGCTTCACGGAGACGTCGTACATCAGGCAACTGGCCACATGGCCGGCCACGCTGCGCGCCTCCGTCTTCTCGCCGGCCACGATGAAGCTGTTCGTGACCAGGGCACGCACCGTCATCTTGTAGAGCTTGCGGAGCAGCTTCACATCGCTGGCCGCCCACTCGATCACCTGCGAGATGGTGGTGGCCAGCTTGATGTGCAGATTGAAGGCGCACTCCCACTCCGGCTCGTAGTCCATGTGCTGTCCCGTCTGCCTCGTGATCGACTCCATGCCCTGCATAACGTTCAGCACGCGCATCAGAGCGCGGCAGCCTGCAAGCATGGATACAAATGGGTCTAAATATGTAAGTAAGCTAGCTGGGCAGATGAACTGACCTTCTAGGAAACCACTCCGCAGATCGTTGCTCAGCACGTCCGGCTTCAAACTGAGCAGATAGCGCAGGTCGTACAGGATGTAGTTGGCCCGCTTGAAGAAGGTCAGGCCGGCGGTGTTCTTGCTGAAGTGCAGCGTCCGGTTCTGAATGAACTTCTCGATGGCCACGTGGTAGAACGTGTGCAGCAGCTTGTTGAAGATGCCCTCGTGGGCGATCAGATGATGGGCGATGCTGGGCACCGTGAACAGCTGCACGCTGAGCGAAACGATCGAGAAGGCGTGGTCGTGGTCGTCGCTGATGAAGTCCTCCACAATGGTGGCATAGCGACGCGAGAACTCCTGGGCAAGGACCATCTTGTTGTCGTACTCCATCAGCATGCCGGAGATGAGGAGGCGGTGCCAGCAGGTGCGCGCCGTCTTCCACAGCTTGACGTCGTGCTCGAGGATGTGGCGGATGCAGAAGGCCTCCTGCTTGCGCTGCACCAGCTCGGCGAACGTCTTGCGGAAGAGGTAGTGCCGCACGAGGAACTCCTGGAACCAGCCGAGCAGCTGCAGGGCGAACTGCTGGCAGGCGACGGCCCGCACGTGCAGCACCGATGTCCTCAGCGATTGGTTGTGCCGCGACGTGGACAGCAGGGGCGGGATCATCTGGTTCTCGATGGCCGTCTTCAGGTTGTTGCACTCCTAAAGCGAAAGAGAACAAATGGAGTGAGTTACTGCAAAGGCAGGAAAGAAATCCACTGGCAAGCTCACCTGGAAGGTATCGCACTTGACCACCGCTCGACCCTCGCGATCGATCGCCGCCACAATCTCCATGGCGTCCTTTCGGCTGCACTTGGCGATCTTGGTCAGCGTGTTGATGACCTGGTCGAACGTGTGCGACTCGTCGTTGTAGAGCACCGTGCAGTACTGGGCCCCGTCCACCTCGCCGCCCTCCTCCACGTTCCCGCCGTCCAAGCACTCCAGACTCGAGTTCGGCTCGATCTCCAGGTAGTTGACGCAGAAGGCGAGGATCGCCCCGAAGCAGATCTCTGCTCGCTCCCGCACCGCGTCGGTCAGGATCTTGCTCTCCAGTGGGTTCTTGCGATTTGCCTGGCCAAAAGAAATGGTAAGTATTTGGGATTATATAAGAAAAGTATTCAAACATTTTAAACTGACTGCATAACATTCTAACATAATTTGTGTAGAATTTAAAAAGGAAAACAAGTTCTACTATATAAACTACTTATTTTGTTATAAGATATAAACATAACGTTTACTGCCTGTTATCATTATCTTTCAACGATCATTACAAATTACGTTACTTCAATAAACACTGACTTTAGTAATTCAATGTAAAGAAGTGAGTAATAAATTTACTATCGTATTCGATTTCATCAGAACGAAGTGCCAAGTGTTATTAAGTATGCACATTACATTTGTCAACTGGTTGGTAAGTTGACTTTAAACGAGAATGAAAAGAGTGATCTTTCTATACCTTTTAGGGAATGCCTTCTTGGGCACTTCAGGTGGTTATACAGATTCGTTTGGTAGGTTGGCTGTGTGGGCACTTAAGAAAAAGGTGGTACTGACCAGATGCAGCTGGCAGTAGTGATCCTTCTTCCAGGCCTCGTCGTCGCCGCAGTCGCAGCAACCGCCGCCGCCGGAGGTGGACATCTTGTACTTGTGGAAGCGGTGCGCCGATCGCTTGAAGCAGTTGACGCACAGAACGCAGGTGGGATCGACGCCGCACTCGCGGCAGCTGTAGGTGGGCTCCCCGTTCTTGAAGACCTTGCCGCAGACGGTCGCCGTGTTGCCCTCCAGCCGGAGCTTCTCCAGAGCGGCGGTGGGGTTGTCGCCCACAATGAACTCCACCACCAGGTCGATCAGCTCCTCCTTGGCCAGCGCCTCTTTGAACATGCACTTGACTGCAAGAGAGATTGAATCGTTAGTTTAAGTTCCCACAATGCAAGCGGTTCGATGGAGGGATGATGAAAGCTGGATTGTCAGCCTTGCCAGGTGGGATCTCCTGATCCTGTTCAGACTTACTGGAGCCGTGCATATTGTGGCGCTTGCTCTGCTGCAGCTGCTTGACCTGCGACACCACGTTCGCATTGAAGTAGGTCAAGCGGAAGGTCTCCTGCACACGCAAGGCATCGAAACTTGAAACTGCATTAAGCCCAGGATTGCAGTTGGGTTGGATTGGATTGGATTTGATTGGAGTGGGGTGCATTGGATGGTTGGATTGGGTTTGATTGGAGTGGATTGATGAGTGATATGCGGGGGATGAAGGCTTGTGGTTAGTACGGCGACATTGTGCGGATCGGTTAAATAGAGTATTGTGTATCGAGTTTCCATGGGGTGTTTGGTTTTGGGCTTTGGTTTTGGTTTCGGTGGGATTTTAAATGTTCTCCGTTTGGCAGTCTAATCGGCAAACTAACAAGTGTGTCTTATACTTACGGGTAAGCGTACTGGGATCTGAAAGAATACAAAATATTTACAAGGATTAGTCAAATGATAGGAAATATCGTTAGATTTTTGAATAATAAACGTGATTATCCTAGCATAGTCTATACAAGTTCTTTTCGATCTATGAAGTAAATCGGAAGCATTATAGAATGCAAATATAAGGTACAATACTTTGTTGGTATTGGCCCAATGGATAAATGCAGTTATAGACGGCCTAATGGATTTGCTAATTGGGATTATAAATAAACAAACTGACTAATGTGTTGGTTAACCATTTGTCATCATTTTTTTATTATGGCTTTTTAAGGCCGTGAGTAATGCAATCGCGAACATAGCCAGGCTGAAATATCATTCAAGTCTTTAGAACAGGTCGAACCGCACCGCATGGCGATAACGATCGTGATCGTGATCATGATCGCCACTACATATAATGGTATTAGGGTTTGGCGACCGCAAAAGAGAACCGGAGACAAAGATGAAGAGAAACCTTCGGCCAAACGAGTTTTCGCAAACAAATGAATTCGAGACAGACAAAACTGATTCGAAATCAAAATGAAAATCGAATGCAAATGCAAAGCGAGAAAATCAAATGCAAACTATGTACAACTACAATAAATGCAGTTCAAGGTCGTCGCAATCGCTGTAGAAAACTCTGCAGCGCAGAATCGAAATAGAGAGCGATAAGTTTGCAATACATGTAATCTATTATCAGGGCTATCAGCAAAAATAAAACAGCACATCCGTATCTATCTACTGCCTACAAAGTCTGCAATGCAATTTAGTAGATAATGATAGTACGGAAAAGTCCAGAGTGCCCATTGCTATATAGCAGACTTTAAACTGCAAGAGCAACTTTTATAGATCATATATAAATTTAAATGAATTTAGACAAAATAGGATTTTTAAGCAGCGATTTCAGAGCCAATTTTGTGCTTTAGTTTTTGATTCTAATAGAATATTATGGCTGTATTTCTCTTATAAAAATTGTTTAAATATTATTTTGACCTCGGCCAGGTATATATGTACATATGTAGGTGTCTATATAAATGCATATTAAACTGCGTGTGCGTCAGTTTACTGAGGCGTAATAGACTGGAACAAAGAAGAAGCCTGGAACGGGAAATAAAATTAAATAAAATAAAAGAAAGAAACAGAACCGAACCGAACAGAACTGGACAGAAAAGAAAAGAATCGAACTGAAATGCACTAAATAAAAACTGAACGGAGCTGTCAAGAGTGGAGAGGAGGAGCACCCAAAGGAGGCCACCTCATCGGCCCCTGAATCACAATACATTATTCGGGAGCGGGAGCAACCCACATGCAGTTTTACAGCAAAGATCAGCAGAAAAGTTTTCTCCTTCTCAAGATTTAAGGTTTAAGGCAAGGAAATATCTAGACGGCATCGAAAGGTGATTGAATTCAAAATTTATACAAAATTTAAACGGAATTGAACTTAATTGCACATATAACACGATTTTCGAGAAGCGTTTTGTTTCGAACAAATAAATCTGTGTAATTATGGCGTTCATTTAAATAAATTTGACATGAGCATGCATTCCGATTTCGGTATCCACTGTATTGTACATTTTTCGCCACCAAAAAGAAACAATACAAGAAATTTAAAGGCGCCCCAAATAAAAAGATGTGTGGAAAGAGCAGAACGAGAGCGCCAACGATCGTTATGAAGAGCATTTTTGTTTTCTGCAAGGGAGGTGGGCGATCGACCTTATATAAAATAAATCTCGATAGACACTGGCAGGCACCCCTGTGGAATATAATGTGTGGGTTGCTTTGCAATTGCCAATCGTGTCAGCTGAGTTCTCCTCATCATAAGCAAAAGCGGAAACAGGAATTGAAGGAAATGGAAATGCTTTCCTAAAACAGGCATGCGAAATCAAGCGCTCAGTTTCGAATAGTCAGAGAAGCCAGATGATATCGCAAAAGCTGGACACGTCAGACGATTCCGAGTGCAAGGTCTCTTTCCTTTTTAAATACGCAAGGGGACAAGATAAATGCAAGTTGAATAAACCGTCTCCAAATGCATCACTCGTGTATATTTAAACTCTCCTCTTATCAGTCATCATCCGAAGTCTGGTGTTTCGTTTTCTGTTTTCTGAGTTCTGCGTTCTGTTTTCTGTGTTGTGGCGCATCTGTCCACCTCATCGGCTTTCGTCATTTGCATCAACATTTCTGTTTAGCGATTGTCTACGGCCAATTAGACACCAGGCAGATATCAGCAGGAGCTATATATATGTATATATAGGGGCTATATAGCTATGGCAACCGCAACAACATCGGTAGCCATGGCTCCACATGTTTGGCGGCTGATAAGCGCAGAAAGCCGTGAAAAGAGTAAGAGCCCGATTAGCGAAAGCGGAGAGCAAACCTCGTTAAGGGAATTTGCGTGAATTCGTGGGGATTACTGAATGAACGGATCCACCAGATAGGGAAGTAATTATGCATTCCTAACATTTAAGCTCACATTCGCAGACATATGGTATCTTTATTATTATAATGGATATTCTGCTTGCTTCACCAAAACAAATTTAACAGTCAGTTATTTCGATAGTTTGCTTGACATTTTCTTGATTGGTGCACAGCTGCTGCACCCCACGCCCCGATGTCCGTGTTTCCTATTAAATCAATATGTTATAAACAGAAACTCGACGCCAAATTAGAAGTGCCACAAACGCTTTCCCAGATTCTCCCAATTTGTTTGTTTGTTTCAATGGTAGCGCTTTGCCTTTGGCTTCGGATAATATTAACTTCTGGCGGAATGTGGTGCAAACGGGTTTGTTTACTTATAATATTTGTTACCAGGCCAGGCTCTTGGCTTTTGTTAAAACAACATGCATACACTTGGAAAGACATCGGAGACACAAAATGGTCTTCGTTACAATAAGTTCAAAATGAAGGAATTTCAGTGTGAATTATTATCTGGGCATTATATTGTATTATAAAAGAAAACAAAGCAAATACAATTTTTTTGTAAAAATAGTTTGACTATGTATGTATATGCTCCTCGTTTAATTTTGTTTAGTGTAAATAGTTGTTGGCGTGCATAGAAGGCGAGACAGGTAGAAAATCGAGAAGGTGGACAGGTGGGAGGTGGAACGAGGCGTTGCCCGGTGAGCAGTGCGAGGTGGTAAGGTGGGGGGTGTGGGGTGGAAGGTGGGCTGGTTGGCAAACTTGGAGAGCCAATTGGAAGGAAAACTTGGCGCAGCAAAACACGGCGCAGTACAAAAACAAATTCGCGGAAATGCGAAATAGACAAAACGTGAGAACAACAACAAAATCAACAAAAGCGTGCAGTTGTTGTTCAATGGCAATAAACAAAAGCCGAAAGCAGAACGAAAATAACACTAAAACACACGACGAATAATGATAATTCAAGAGCGAGAGTTTTTAATGGGATTCGGCCAACACATCACACCCCCACCCCCACCCCATCGATTTGGCGCTATGCTTGTGTTTTAGCCCCATTAGCTGATAAAAAATATGGAACATTTAAGGTTTAAAATATTAAGTATACGTTGTTTCCATTCTTGTTATCACAACATAACTTTAGCCTTTGTGTATTACATTTCTTATCCAGATTTTCATTCGTTTTCTTTTTGTATCTAAATAAAAAACAGCTGTTTAAAGTAAACTCTTTTTGGCGCATTAGCGTTTTTATATGGCTTATCAGTAGTTTTCTAAGATAAGGAAGACAATACATAAATAGGTGGGTTACTGTCAATCGCTTTTAAAACAATGCAGAACCCAAAGTTTTGATCTAGATACAGCTGTATTCCGAACGCAATAACGCATCTTTCTGGCCAATGACCATGGCTATATATATAGATATGTATGTACAGTGCACCATATAATGCACTATCATCTGGAATTGAGGGGAACTCACCTGTCTCCGTAGCAACCGACTGGTACTCAAAGTATTTGGGCGCCTCGCGCTTAAAGAACTCGGTGAAATCGGAGCGGGTGAGTGTGCCCGCCTGGCCCTTGAGGCGCCACTCCTTGAGCGGCGAACTGCACTCGGCAGGGGGCGCCACCACGACGTCCTCCATGTCGTAGCGATCCATCGTTGCTCTCGCTCGCACTTGCACTGGCTCCTCACACTCGGTCTCTCTCTCTAGCTGGCCCCACTCTCTGTCGCTCTTGGTCGGATGGCAAAAACAAAACAATTGCAGCGAGTAGCGGGTGGAGTATATGTGCGTCTAAGCCGTCTCTTTCTCGCCTGCGCGTGGGTGGCTTGTTTTGTGTCCTTGTCCTTGTTATTCCTGTAGTATTTGTTGTCACTTTTGTGTTCTTTGATGCATTGATTGTTAATAATTTGCCTAAAAGTTGCAACCAAAAACTAAAACAAAAAAGGATACGTGAATGATAACGAATCAAATTGCACTATCTTATTTCGATTTCGGATTTTCGTTCGGGGGAGCTCTACACACGCACTAGCTTCTAACAATTTATTTTAACAACTATATAAAGTTCACAATACTGACAATCGGAGCAAGGAGGATTTAAACAAAACAAAGACGCAGTTTGCAACTGTTGCTTTGCACTTTATTCTGTGTATCAGCCATGTGTCGTAGTTTTTACATTTGGTTTTTTGGCAGCAAAACAAAAACAAAACGAGCGAGATGGCCAGCGTGCAAAAGAGAGAGGGCGCATGGCAGAAAACAGAAAAAAAATAGAAAACAATAAACACACACACGCTCAAACTATAGTTTCGGTTTTATTTTTATAATAATCGTTTATTATCAACGGGTTTCGCTGTGTGTTTGCCTGGCACCTCGAAAATCGCTTTTCTTTTCTTTATTTTTCACTTTCCGAAATCCACACACACACACTCTCACGCCAGCTGACGAATTGAGCAACACCGCACACACTCGCACATCCGCATACACACTCGCGTTTCTGCGTTTCGCTTTCGATTTCAACCTTTCCCCAACTTTGCACGTACTTTTCGTTTTCCTGTGGCTCTAAATGTACTATTAATTTGGACTCGCGTTATTGTTTATATTTTTAACTGCAGAACGGAAATTGTCTGCTAATTTCGTAATGAAGACAGTGTTACCAATCGTTGCGTTCGGAAATATACTTAAGTCATTTGTGCCTAAATTTGCTGGTATATCGGGTTCCTACACCAAACGATGTGGTGCTTGTCTCGGATATGCTGGTTCGGGTCTCCGATAGCGAGTAGACTTACCACAGTGACGGGTCATAGTTGGCAACGCGGTTTTTGGTAAATAACCGTTAAGCTGTTATTTAAATTTAAATTTTGATTTTAAATATTATTTTGGTGTGCATCCCCCAAAGCCTCCCAATTCCAAACAACTATTTTCCATCTATTTTGCATACACACAAAAATGTCTTTATTGTTTCGCTTTTTTGTTTTTTAGTTGCTTCGGTTCTTGTTGGTATACTTGTGTTTGGTTTTTGGAAATACATAGTTTTGCTTCTTTATTGCTAAATCTACTTGGATTCGGTTTGTTATCGTTTTCGGCTTGAATACTTTATGCTGAGATGTTGTCTTGAAACCAAATCACTTTTAAATACTGTCCAGTTTTTGGTCATTTCTTTTTTTGGTTGTGGTTTTGTGTGGTTTTTGGGCTTAACTGAAAAATAGGTTTTCCTTCGTTTCCTTTGTACTTTAGGGAAATGAGTTGTGTTTCGTATTTGTTGATTTGTTGGTTTTTGTTAGCTTTGCGTTTACACTGTTTGGTTCCACGTAGTTAATGGCTTTTTCGCTCTGGTAGCTTGGAATACATTAAATTCTGCCTTAGCACAATTACATATATAGTTTTCCTTTAGTTTTTTTTTTATAGAATTCTTGTTTTAAACATTTATAAATATGCATTTATCGTTATTTAAGTTTAACATTTATTTACTCTCGGGTCTGTATTGGGCATTTTCTTTGTATCGTTTTGTTTTCTTTCGTTTTGTTTGTTTTGTTTTGTTTTCTTTTGGTTTAGTTAACTTGGGCTTAAGTGGCTTCGACCCCTCTTTGTGTACAACATTTAAAGCTTGACTATATTGTTTTTTATCTGGATTTCTTAGTTTAAGTTGGGTTTCGGAAGTCGGGGGCCTTCGTTGGCCGCTCTACAATAAAATTTCGCTTATTGACGCAACATTTAACACCTAGGCTTCTGACAATTAAATCCCATTCCGCATTTATGGAATTCGTTCGTTTCTTCGTTCCGTTAATGTTAATGGTAAAAAAATCTAAAAAAAAATGTTTCGCCATTTTTTTTGGTTCTCGCTAAAGCACACCTCTATCCCCCCCTCAATATATAATCCCGATCCAATGCGATCGGTTTATGGGGACTTTGCAAGCCTGGGACTTGTCTTTAGTGTGTGGCACAATCTCTCCTCCTTTGACTCTCAATATATTTAGATTAAAAATTAGGTCTGTATCGGCTGCTAGACACCTAAACTCCTGGAAATACCCTGTATCCACGCATCGAATGTTGGCGCTGCTCGAATGGATATGAGGTTTAAAGCTTTTGCACACCGAAAGTCGGGAGAGAAGGAGGTTCTATCTAAGCGGTTCGACTGGAGTACAGGGTATTTTATAGTCGCCTACTCTCGACTATCACAAACATTCAATGGGCGTATGGTAAGCTGTGGGTTTACTCCTTCTTCTTCTTCTTCTCTGAAACTACTCGCAAAACTTGTTGGCTATTTAAAAGATATATCTTCCTCCTTCCTTTGGACATGAGTTACCATAATTGTTTCAATTTCGGCTAAGCTACCGCTTCCGTTTTCCTTCTCATTTTCGTTTTCGTTTTCGTTTTCATTTTCGTTTAAAATTTAATCGTTAATATATACAAAAAAAATAACGTTCAGTCAATTATAACTATATGTTTATACACATCGAAACGAACACGTAAAGAAACAACAATGAGGCCTAAACAAATTACATGACACACACATATCGCACTGTATTTGGTTTGCCTTTAGCAATTAGGTTTGTCCCCTACATCTGTATCCTTACGCCAAGGACATCGACATCGACATCGACACCTCACCGCCTCGTCACCCCCTTCGCACCATGAGTTTGGTTAATTATTAAATACACATATGTTAATAATCAGTCGCATAAATGAATCACCTTGCTTTGGTTTTGCTTCCCTATTCCCCTCTGTCTCGATAATCATTCACACGCGATTCCCTCCGGCAAATCGGTAAGTTCAAATCATACTAAGTTTTCAATTTAATATAGTCGGATGTTGCGACTAAGTTGGCTGGTATCCGAGATTTTACAAGCTTTGCATTTTGATTGTAATGAAAAAGTGACTATTTTGATTGGGAGTACCTGCTTCAAATTTGTGTATTTTGAACAGATAAATTATAGATCAGTACCGACATTCCACTTGTTCTCCTAAACTGTATTTCTTTATAACCAAAAATAACAATAAATTTATTAAAAAGATCTGTAAATCACTTCGATCCTAGCTCTTAATTAATAATTGAATTATTCTGTAATTTGGTCTCAAGCAAATATTTTAAACATTAAACTATATTTTTTGATCATTTCTGCAAACGATTTATCCTTGTCAATACTGATTTTAAAAGGATGAACCCAAAAATGCCTTTGAAGAACCAACTCTGGCACACTAACAGACCTTTTCCGATTTTCACTTTGGTTATAAACTTGGTGAGCATTTGAAAGGATTCTTCACTTTATCCTTTAAAATAAACTTAAATATATAGTACTGAAGTAATACACTTAGAAACCATTAAGTATAAATAGATTTTTAAATTTAAAAAATTAAAATTAAAAAGTACCTTTGGTGAAATAACCAAGGTGGGTATTAACTTATGGTAATTTTGTGTGTAAAAGCAAAGTGTAAATCTGGTTGGCAAGTGAAAAAGGGATCGGAACTGTCCAGCTGGCACACACATACACTCACACCCACACACACACTGACACACGGAGGACTCCTGCGGGAGCGGCAGCGGCAGCGGAATCGGGATCTGGATCTCCATCTCCATCCGAATCCTCATCCAAATCCAAATCCAAATCCTCATCCAGATCCCCTTTAGTGCTGGAGGATGCGAGACTTCTGGGCGAGCACGGCCTCCGACTGGTGGAGCCGGCGCTTGCTGCTGTAGTTGCACAGCTTGCCGGCGACCTTGCTGAGGGTGGTGGCCGTGGAGGAGGTGATCAGGTCGAGCGACTGCAGCCGGTTGTCCAGCTCGTCAAGCGCCGACAGCGAGGCGGTCGTCGTGGTGGCGGCCAGCAGTGCGGACAGATTGCTGCCGGCGGCATCGGGATCCGCATTGGGATCCGCATCCGAGCCCGAATTGGGATTCGAGTCCGAGTGCGAGTCCCGGGCGGGTCCGATGGCGGTGTCGATGTCGCTGAGCTGGTTGGCCAGCGGATCCTCGTCGTAAGGATCGTAGGGGGGTCTTAATTATTGCTTGAACACAAACAGACCCGTGGGGTCCCACTCGTTGTCGTCGACGGGGCCGAAGCACTCGTCGAAGTACCACTCCATCGTCTTGTAGACGTGGCTCAGCGACCTGGCGATGGCGTGGTCCTCGTCGGGGTACACCTGGTGCCGGAACTTCACCTGCTGCTCCACCAGCGCCCGGACCAGCATCAGCGTGTGCTCCTGGTGGACCAGCGTGTCCGCGGTGCCGTGCATCAGCATCAGGTTGCGCCCCTTGATGTTGCCCGCCTTCATGGTGAGGTCCGCCTCCTGGAGCGCCCGCAGGTAGTCGCCCTTCAGCGGGATGTAGCGCTCCGTGAAGAAGGAGTCTGCGGATGGGTTAAGGATCAGTTAGTTTTGGAGTTTGTCAAGCGGAGAAAATGTGGTAGTTGTGAATAAATAAGAATGCCTTCTGCAAGGGTATACAAATGATGAGGGATTCATGATTACCGGATCAAGGAAAACGATTTCATAAAAGGTTAATCCAATTATTAAACAAACTAATACTCACAGTGGAATCCAAAGTTGACAATGGGATTGATGGCCACCGCGCACTGGAGCACCTGCTGTGAGTCATCGATCAGCATCATGGAGGAGGCATATCCCCCGTAGCCCCAGCCAAATGCACAGATCCTCAGGGGATCGATAAACTTCAGGTTGTCCCGCAAGTACCTGCAAAAAATGCAATGTAAGATTGGATAACCTGTAGCCTCAACCATTTGCTTACGTTAGGACACCCAGTTGGTCCTCCACCTCGACGGTGCCCAGTTTGCCATGGACCTGGGTGCGCAGCAATTCGCCCTGGAAGCCACTGCCACGCCCATCGATTTGGGCCACAATAAAGCTGCGCTGGCTGGCCAAGTACCAGTTCCAGTCGACGTGGAAGCGCTCGGTTACCAATTGCGAACCCGGTGCGGCATCTCTGATTCGTTCGTGAATTATACAAGGAAATAATAACATAAATATAAATACCATTTACTTTTCTTCTCCTTACAAACATACAAATTACAATTTATATTAAAATCCTTTATTTTCTATTTATGAACAAGAAAGATTTGCTTGAAAAGGACTTTCAAATTTCAAGTTAGAAAGGTTGGAAAAATCTATGTTAAACCTAATTCAATTTCCGAAACTTGGAAAAGCTGGTATGCAACTTTATTATAGGACTAAAAACATGAAGGAAAATACCTTCCCCATTGAGATAATATGATTTTTGGCCATTTTATGCAAGTTTTTCATAAAAAAAAGTGCGAACAAATGGAAGAATCTATTTTTTCAAACAAACATTTCGATGAAATTGAATTGCCGAAATGAAAAAAGCTGGTATTGTTCAAGAGATAGACTCACACGTGCAGGACGAGCGGGAAGGCGACGTCCTCCTCCTCGCGCATTCCGGGCGGCAGGAAGAGGCGCACCTGGGCGTGGAAGCCGTGCCGGATCTCCACGCTGAAGGTGCGCGACTGCGGAACGGCCAGCTGGGAGAGCCGGTGGCGCAGGACGTCGCCGGCATTCAGCACGTAGATCTTGTCGTTGCTGGCCGTCTCCACCAGGTAGACACTGGGCGCCTCGGGACCCAGGCACTCCTGCACGTAGTAGCTGTAGTCCTGGCTGAACTGCACCCGGTTGAACAGGCAGTTCTTGGGTATATCGTACAGGCAGTCGTCCGGCTCCAGGCGCGCCACAATGTCCTCCCATCGATCGCCGCGCTGGGAGATCCGCGCCCGGTGCAGCCGGTACGTGGACTCCGTGTTGTCGCAGGTGAGACAGGTGGGCGGACTGGAGGTGATGTACGTGCGATTGGACTCGGTGACGTTCAGCCTCAGGTTGATCTTGTACAGGTGCCGCTCCCCAGGTCGCTTCTCCGGCGCGGCCATGAAGTAGACGATCTCGTGCGGCTCGTCCCAGCCGACGATCTCGGTGACCTCGAAGCGACCCATGGTCAGGGGGACGGGTCGTCGGTCCAGCGAGGAGATGAACACCACGTGCCGGTAGTGTCCGTGCTCGCCATCGCGCACAGGAAGCCGCTTCAGCAGGTAGCCGCCGTTGCTGATCTCGTGGGTGGTCTGGCCCTCCGTCGCATTCGCCTGGCTCTCCGGGGGCACCTCCTCCGGAGCGGGAGGGATCTTCGCCTGCTGCCGCTGCAGCTGGTTGCGAACGGAGAAGACGGGACGCTCGGCCGGCAGCACCCAGCCGTCGTTGATGGTCACCTCCGTGTGCACCGCCTGGCAGTGGAAGTGGGGGGCGCGGCAGAGCACCGTGGTGGCCTTGGTCTGCTCCCGGTTGGTCACCGTCACCGAGAGGTCGCTCGGCGAGGCCCAGGTGAGTCCGCCCACGTAGCTGCCGTTGGCCAGCTCCGCGGGCAGCCTGATCTGCGTGGGGAATATGTACTTGACCACGGCGAGGTTCGCCACGTTCACCGTCACGTTCGGGTTGCGGGAGCCCGTCTTCGGGTAGCGCTGGCTCATCACCGCCGGGTACTTGATGTCGTCGCCCATCCAGGTGTACCTGAAAGCACACACATCGAGGATATTAAAGAGGGTACAACTTGTGCATTAACAACATATTATTGTGCCATTGATAAGCTTGATTTTAGTTTAGTTTTGGTACAACAGAAGTTTAAAGGGATTTTCCCTTTGATACTTTTAGGGATTACCTTTATAACGCTATAATACCCAATTGGATCTATAGTTTCAATTAACAACATATTATTTTGCCATTGATAGGATTATTTAGTGTACAGAAATTAAAAGAGTTTTTCCATCTGATACTTTTAAGGATTACCCTTTTATCGCTATAATACCCAATTGGATTTATAGTTTTTTAGATTATAAATAATATATTATATTGTGAGTGCTTTAAGGCATTATTGGGTATTATTGGGTATTAATTAAGGCATTAATTAAGGCATGGGTATTAATTAAGGCATTATTGGGCATTATTGGGTATTAATTAATTAATTAATTAATTATGTATTTAGACTTCCATTTGGCATCTTTAAATTTTTAAAAAGAGTTTCTAAAAATGTAATTATGATAATAGAAGCCTACAGTTTAATTTGATTTTAAGCTCTCACCAAAAGTGACTAATTATTGGTGGTCTTGTCATAATATCAGGTGTTTTCATATGACCTTCTCTTTGAATAATATTATAGATTAGTAATACTGTAGCTCCACTCACTTGTACTCGTTGACCTCGCTGTCGTTGTAGCTGAGGAAGGCCAAGTAGAGTCCGTCCGGGGAGAACTCCATGCTGCTCTTCCTGCTCTCCAGCTCCGGCACGTTCTCGTACATCCAGTCGGGCACTCCGTTGAAGACCACGCCCCCCGTTCCCTGTTCGCCCTCCGCGGATTCCAATGGGGATCCAGTCTGCGTTATCCGGCAGACGAGTTCGCCCTGCACCTTCGGCTTGTAGTAGATGTCGTTGTGGTGCACGAAGGCGATGGCCTGGTTGAGCGTGTAGCCACCGGCCTTTCCATTTGAGTTCGTGGCGGCGGTGGAACTGGAGGGGGATCCCGCCGCTCCTGCCGCCGCATTCGCCACGCCCCCGTTGGCCGCCCCCGCCAAGCTGTTCAGGATGATGCTGCCACTGGGCAGCGGAGCCATCGTGGTGGAGGAACCACTCAACGAACCACTCGCAGAGCCAGTAGAACCACTAGCACCACTGGGTGGTGGGGCTGCCAGCGGTGGAGGCGGATTCACGGGGGCCCACACAACGTGCTGGAGGCGTGGCGCCTCCGCAATGTTCTCCGTTGGTCCCAGCGGAAATGTGTTGGCCGTCTGCACCTCGTACACGTGATGTCTGTCCAAGAAACATTTAATAGTAAAACAAATGCGTATACAACAATTATATATATAGAAATAACCAAAAAATTAATTAAAACTAATGCGTATATAACAACTACTTACAAATAACCAAAAAATTAAATTTAGAAGACATACACGTGATATCTGTCGAAGAAAACATTTAAGATTATAACAATTATATAAAAATAACCAAAATATTAAATGTAGACGTGATGGCTGTCCAAGAAAATAGAAAAATATTTAATAGTGTAAAAAAATGTGTATATAACAATTATATAAAAATAACCATAAAAAATTTTATTTAATAAAACCATTAAAAAATCAACCAAAGAAATTGTTCAAATAGTTTTAAAAAAATGTAAATAAGTCCGTACACAGAAATGAAAAAATCTTTTAAACAGAAGTAAGTAAACTAATTATTATAATTATACAAATAAATTAAAGAGCAATTGTTTGGTAATCGAACCAGGGAGTTAAAAATGATAACCACTTTAAGGATAAACCCACCTGGAGCCCTCGCCATTGGTGTCCGACTGCAGGAGCACGTATTTCTGGTCAGGGGCCACAAGAAACGATTCCGCATTTAGCTGGCGCTATCGAGTGAGTTTACATAAATTCATTAACTAAATAAATACGATTTCCAGCTGCAAAATGAAAACTTACGAATGTTGAATTGGTCATAAGAATGCGTGTGGTGAGATCGGCCATATTGAGTATGGAAAGGCCGCCCGTGGGATCGCGATAAATGAGTTCACGACCTGCGGGAAAAGGATTTCGATTAGGATGATTGGGATGTGGGATGGAGGAGGCGGACCACCATTCGGCACCCACCATTGCTCCAAGTGCCATTGAAGGGCTTCCACTGGAGACTCCTGCCGAGGATGTCGCTGGGCAGCATTCGGCGACCCCGGATCCTAAGGCCCTCATCCTCCGGCGACAGCAGGAAGATCGAGAATATGATCAAGCTGAAGACGGCGGCGATCACCAGGAGGGCGATGAAGATGCCTCGCCAGTTGCGGCGCTCTGGAGAAATGGCCACCAGTTCCTGTAAAAATATAGAAAAAAGTAAGTAATTAAACTTTAAGCTCAGTTCAACAAAGCAATAGCATGTGAGAAGTCTTTTAAATATATTCAAAGTTAGCCACAAATAATTGTGTTATTTATTTGCAGTAGAATGTATTTCAAAGCCATAAACATTATCAAATAAATACAACCTCACAAATAATCGACTTTTTGCCTTTTGGTTGTCCACTTCTCATTTCATATTTCACATTTGACCATTTCCCCTTTAATTGGTTAATTGCATTAGGCTGCGCCTTCTTTTCGGACTCCCTTCATTTTAATTAAACTAATGGCTTAGCAACGAGAATTACCGAAATAATCGTCATAGAGGGAGTAGTTAAAGGGTTTTTCAAGGGAAGCCAGGTTCAAGTTATTTGCTTTCAGGTAACAGAAATTTATCATAAATTATTGGATTCTCAAGTATATATATATAAATTTATTTAATATTTAAAACACTTTGTTTTGAATTCTGCAAGGGCAGAGTGATCTGGCAAGTGTGACAAACTATTCAAATGCATTTTTTCTTTGGGAGACTAAGTGCCACCCAGTTGTTCAGCCACATAATCCCCGGCCTCCACTCAATTCCCACTTAGCCAGGACTCGGATTCCTTATCGAAGGACTGTGAGCTGTGCATTTGGATATGGTTTTGGTTTTGGCTCTGGTTTCGGCTTGTGCTCCAGTTTGCCTCCAGTTTCCCTTGTCCTTTCCCCTTCCCTCTCGCATTTTGCAAATTCGATTCCGGCCGTAGTCCCCAAAGTGGTTTACACTCGCAATCAATGGCAATGCTTGTGCTGAAATTGAATTAAAAATTGATATGCACTTGCCTGCGGAAATGGGAAAGTGTAAATGAAAGCGGAAAAGCAGCAAAGGGGCTTTCCCCAGTTGACGTGTGAGGGCGAAAGAAGTGCTAATTGAAATTAGTTGCCCGGACTGCAGAACAACAAATTCGTTTCGTTTGCCAAGGAAAAACTTTCGCCTCAAAACCAGAAATCGTTGCCGTTTTAATAGTGGCATACAAATATTTTATTTCCTCGTCTTGTTAAATCCACTTTGTTTCTTTTCTCTGTTGACGAGCCATCAAAAAGTTTCGAGTTTTAACGTTTTTATTGTCGCGGTCATTAAATCACTCAGCTTGAACATACATACTGAACTTTATGACCGGTTTATAATGACATTTATTGCTTTTCCCATGACCCACTTAACAATGCAATACTCATCTGTTAAATGCAAAACCCCATTATATATATTATATTTAATTCCATTGCAACCGACAGCAAATCTGGACATAACTCACATTTTTCCCTTCAAACATTTTGCTCAGCTTTGTGGCGAAAACATCAAGCCAATTCAAAATTAACAAGAGCTGCCAAGAGCTAAAGTTCAAATTACATGTGGAAAAGTTTCTCCTGAGAACGGAGAGTTATAAACATGGCAAAAAACGGGCAAATTAATTGGAGAAAATGGGAAAAAAGGAAATTCTGGGCATTCAGGGAGAGGAAAGTCGTCGCTAGGAACCGGGCCAACATTTTCAGACCATCAATTTGTGGCCACGAGAAGGAAGCAGAGACAATGGCAAATTGTCTGGCCTTTGATGGCTGCCAACTGTCCTTTGTCCTGCCGCCTCGTTCGCTTATTGCCCACTGCCATGTGGTCGGCTGCTGATGTTCCTTCATTAGCCATTAATGCGAGCCGGGCCATAAAAAGGTGTGACAATTGTCGCTGCCAAAAAAGAAATGGGAGTGGACCGAAAGCGGAGGGACCTGTGAAATTCAACTCGACGAGGAGGGTACTTATAATAATTTATTTTTAAATAAATATAAAATAATAAATATATATATATAAATGTATATGTCGATGTGAAGAGTTTTTCTAGTCTGTTACATTCCTACAGTTTATTTTTACTAATTCAAAAACCATCTAACTTTTACTTCAGGTAGAAATTAATTTTATACAAGATTACTTTTGAAATACGATGAAGTATTACATTTTTCAGAAGAAGAAAATTAAAATGTGACATTGGTAATCACAAAGTTCTGTCTATTCGGCTATTTTCAGCCTCGCTAACAAGCCCAAAAGCCCTGGCACACGGGGCGTATACGTATACGTTTGCTAAGAGAACGCATAATTTATGTGCAAATGACTGGAGTTGTTGGCCAGGCCAGCTTGTTGTTGCACCAGTTGTTCTGGTTCTGGGTTCCTCTTCCTCTTCCTGTTCTTGTTCTTGTTCTTGGGCCGTGTTGTCGTCACATTAGTGCTGTTGTTGTTGGTCCTTGGGCAGGACGCCAAATGCAGGCGCTTTGTGGATGCGTTGTTCACAGCTCATTAAATGTCCATTCGGCGGGGCAAAGTGCGGGGATGTTACCGCCTCATCCGCCGTATTATCGATTCGAGTGCTGCATTTGCATTTGCAATTCGCATTTCGTATTTTGTACTCTGCACTCTGCACTCGGTATTCCGTATTGCGTATTCCGGATTCCGGATCCCTGTACACGGATTCAGGCTGCGGTTTCGCGCAGTTCCCCGTAATTTTCTGTGATTACATCTCGAGTTCTTTTTCGATTGTTCGATGGCCGCTCGGGAATTGCACGCAGAAAAATAACTACCGTAAACTATTATGCAACGTAATTAGCTTTTGAATTTGAAAATATTTCAATAGAAGAGTTCCTACATATACCGAATAATTTCTAGATTATGTGGGGGAAACCTCAACCAAAATGCATTCCTTTTCCCAAACAATTTCAACTTAAAGCCACTTTAAATAGCCTTTAACTATCGGGTTACCAATTTGAAAACACTGTTTTTTCCTTTGTGCGGGTTAAAAAAATAAAACCTTTTTGCTGTTTTCAATGGGGTTTGTTCGCTTGTTTTTTTTTTGTTTTCTTTTTTTTTTTTGCTCCATTAAACTGCAACCAAAGCCGACAGCTGACAAAGCCATGTTCGAATCGAGCGGGTTGGATATGTCTTTGTGGACTGGGTTGGACTGGTTGGACTGGGTTGGACTGGTTGGTGGGTTGTTTGGGTTAGGATGCATCTTTTATGGGCATCTTTTATGCCACTCCAGAGAAGATGCCACTGACAAGTGCATTTGCTTGAGGAGGATACTTTGTTATTGTTGATTTTACCTCCACGTTTTCGTGTGTGTTTGTGTGTGTGGGTGTGTGTTTGTGCGGTGTGTTTGCTTTTGCGGTCGGACCACAAAGGTTTGTTTTCCACGTATCCGTGTCCGTATTCCGTTTTCCGTATTCCGCATCCTGTTTTCCGTATCCTGGCTGGCCATGATTGCATTTTCCGCCTTGGTCTGCGGCTGGCCTTCTCTGCAGTTGGATAACTCTCTTGCACTCACTCGCCTTCCCGCAAGTCCGACATTCTGCTCTAACCATTTTGTTTTCCTCTGCCAAATAATTACCCTGCCCAAAGGCTATTCGATCGCCAACAGAACTAGCAATGAAAAAATATCCTTTTGCCAATTTAAAGAGTGTTTAAAATATGCATAATTAGCACAAAGTAGAAATGGAATTATAAACATTTAGTTAATGTGTGCACAACTTTGATTATAATGTAAATAATAATGGCGCTTCCTGCTAAATTATCTTTTTTCAAGTATCTTTTTTACATCCATAAAAATAAATTCTGTATGATGTGACAACTCGTAATGTAGCCATATATGTGAAATAAATATTTGACGAGCGGCCAAATAGGGTTTTAAAAATATTTCAGTGCAACTATCAAGGGAGATTTTAGTGTTGCATAAAATGTGCTCGTGTCCTTCCTCAAAAACTCATGTGTGTGTGAGACTTTGTGGCAGTTTTCGCAGCTGCATTTTATATTCCGCCATCAACATTCTCCACCGAATCCACAGAAAGGCGGCGAAAGAGCACGAATTTGATTATGCTGCATTTGGGGGCCTTTAATTCTCGGTTCGGGTTCGGGTTCGTTGTGCGTTCGTTGTCAAGTGCTTAATTGGATTTCCCGCCGGCTGTCCGAACAACAATGACGAATATGTGCCGTCACTCGGATTGCTTTTGCCTCTCAACAACGGCTGTTGGCCAGCGATAAGATTCGCAGCCACTTGTCCAAGGGCCAAATTATAAACCCTTCCACCGAACAAAGGACACTAAACTTGGTGGTTGGAAAGTTAGGGAGTGCCTTTAAAAGCTTCCCTATTTAATATCTTTCACGTTCTTTAATTTGTGGGAAGTTTTTCTGATATCTACATAATAATTACCTCTTAATTAAATTGTTTTTTAGGTAGTTTTCTCCTATTTTCGTACTAATTCAACTTATTTTCAAACGGTTATTTGGTACTACTTGTTTTGGGGTCACAAAGTTCGAAATACTTATCTCCAGCCTTACTTCAAAATGCATTATTTCCTGCCAAACGCCTTGGCTCCTTGGAAACCCAAACGCTCGCACTCAATCTTAATATTAATCGACTTTTAAGGCGGACAGGCAACAGCAGCGAATCCTGAAAGTCCTTGGAAAGGCGTTGATCCATACTTTTCGGCTGTCAGCGCTCAACTAACTGTCGGCTTTTAATTAGAAATTGCACAGAAAAAAGTTATAGCTCCGGGCTGAAGAAGAGGAAGAATAGGCGCAAATATTACGCAAACCAGTGGATATAGAAAGTGAGTTTTCAGGGGCGGAGAAAGCGGAAAGGGGAAAGGGGAAAAGGGGGAGGGCGAAAAAGACAGGGAAGCATTCCAAAATGGGTCCCGTGAGGACCGGCGGAAAAAATCATTTGCAACATTGAAGGCAAGAACGAGGAATGTTGGAATGATACACAAATCAAAAATACTTTAGCTTCTAGTAAATAACATATTTATTTCAGTTTCATGGAAATAATCTCTTCAAATATTAGAGCAGAAATAATATTTTTTTTCGTAGTATTAAAAATCGTACTTCAAATTCATTGCAACATTTCCATATAATAACTATCTAATCAGTTATAGTTATCACTTGCTTTTTCCTGTGCATTTGGAAAGTTATAGAAAGAGGAGACACAAATAAGGAGTGATAGGAGAAAGGTACACAAAGTTTTTACAGCCCACACACACAACACACACCCATAGCACACACACACACACACTCGTGGGTGGAAAACTTATGTCATTATGATGGACTTTGGGTCGTTTGGCTCACTTACAAGCTGACCATGGCCAGCCATTCGTGGCCCACTTTCCCTCACGCGTGGCTGACAAATATTAATGAAAGGGTGCAAACTCCACCCATCCGGCATCCGGGAGCTTAGACCTTATCCTTATCGCCACTTTGGCCCGGCATGCAAAATTTATTGTCTACTTTTATTTATTGATCCAAGTTTGCGCTGCCTTTCACTTTGGCCATTTCTTATCGTGGCCACAAATTGCAGTAAAACTTCACGGACGGACAGGGAAAACTTGGAAAATTCCTTGGGTCGCCGAAGAAAAACACATGTCGAAGATGGGATTGAAGATAAGTTAAATGGTTGAATCTGCAGATTTATCGCCACCGAAATTGCTCCTAATGTATTCATTAAAAGAACCATATATTGCATAAACTATAAAAGGAATTAAAGTCCTTGCAAATGTATCTTTACACTAAAATCAGACCTTAAATGCCTCTTAACCCTTAACAAATTATATTCAAATTTTCACAAGCCAGTCACATTTCACAAATGATGATAATTAAAAGCGAATCAAGGGGAAGCAGCCGCCTTAACCCGCCGAAGCCCCCTAACCCTTAACCCTTAACCCACTGAACACAACCGTTATCAGCTTCGGCAGAACTTTTTCCCCCATTTGTCGCCAACCGAAAAGTTAGTCGGCTTAAAACGAGTTTTCCAACTGAAGGGAAGGCGGGAAAAAGTGAATCAGTGGAACAAATTAAATTCGAGGGAGAACAGCCGAGGGAAGTTGCTCAATTATGGTATTTGCCCGGCGCTATAAAGTTTATTTGTATTTTATTTTATTAATTTATGTCCGCTACTTCCGACTCAAAAAATAATAAGGTAATAAAGGGCAGGAAAGCGACGTTACGGACCACTTATTTATGGCCGAAGATTTGCCGGAAAATGTGAAGGGGCGAAAAACCGGTGGAACAAAAAAAAACGAAAAAAAAAACAAGGAGGCGGCTGCTTTTGATGGCATTGCCGCAGGACTCTCTCGATTGGCAATCGATATGGCAAATCGAGTTTGTGTTTTATTTATGGCCAGGCCCGAAATAATGAAATGCCAATCGAGTCGAGAGTCTGGCCCACTCACTCACTCACTCACTCGCCTTCTCCCCACTCAATTACCCGCCCTTCAACTTGAGTGTATAATTCCGAAATTTATAAACTGTGAAATCTGAAGGCGGCTGCTTTTGTTGCTGTTGTTTTTGTTACGGTTTTTCTTGTTTTATTTATGAATTGTGCCACAAGGAAAAGGGATCAAGGACCAAGGACTCTAGACTCTAGATCTGCGACGCGTTTGAAAGCAATTAAATGAGCCCAGAAAAAGGAAGCCACTTAATCCCTTTTCATTCGTATCTAGGCTCTGCCATTTTCCATCGCTCTCGAATACAAAGACATAGACAAAGGCATTTGCATACTTAATTAACTTGGCTAAAATATTCCACGACCGTGAAAGACTTTGGTGTCGAATGAAGCCAAAAAATATGGCTGAGATGTTGACAGGAAATTGCTTTTGACTTTGAGATACAACGATCTAGAATACAATTAAATATAAATTGCAGCCAAGGTGTTGATAATGTCAAAGTAACTAGAGGTATTATTTCCCAATAAGCCCACAACATTATTTCCGTAAAATAAATTCTTATTGCCAATAACCATTATCATTTTTTGTTAAAGTCGTAATGAGTAATTCAAATTGCTTGTCTTCTTGTCGATTCAACTTTAAGCACATATTCTTTGGGTAATTAAGCAATAAATATTCAACAATTAATCTTATAATTTGGCCAGAAATATGCTCTCTTGCCACCCCAGAAATATGCAAATTGGCCGCCATGTAAATGGATTCCTATTAGGCGATTATTAAAACACTCTCTCCTTGTTTGTTTATTATTTTTTCTTACCTCGTCTTTGGGCACCAGAGTCACCTTTTTGATGGTCGGCGCACTGTTGTTAACAACGACCGTTTCCCTTTTCAGCGATGGCCTCTTTAGGGCCGAGTGCGGCTTTTGTATCTCGACCATGATGAGGCTGCCGCCGATTATTATCACACGGATTAGGGACCCGTCAAGAACCGAGAGGAGATGATGAGATGATGCGATGATGCGATGAGATGGAATGGAATGGCGATGAGATGGCTTATTAGTTTGACGGGCGGAAAGGCGGAAAGTTGCTTGGCCCCTGAGAACCGGACAAACTGTTGCCAGTTGCCAGTTGCCAGTTCTTGGGACCTGAAAACCCTCGCCATTTGGCCATGAATCTGAGTGGATTCACAGCTTCTTCAACTGCTGTTGTGTTGCTTTTGCTGCTGCCAAGTCAAACGGCTCATTAATCAAATAAGAATGCCCATTATAGCATGCATTAGGTGTACACTTGCAGAAATCATAACTCTAGAGGCTTAAGTCTTCAAACCTTATAACAAATAATTGTAAATAAATAGGGAAACTTCTTGGAAAACCATTTAGGCAACTACAACTCTTAGATTTAGATTCAAAAACATTTTTACACATTTTGTGGTGTCTCTCTCTTGACACCTTTGCCATATATATTTTTTCAGTGATTTTTCTGCCGGATTTTCGTAGCCTGACTTTTGCGCCTTGGACACACATACGCCGTGTTGTACGCCGGGCATTATCTAAATTAGAGATGTGCGTCGTAAAGATTTTCACGCTCCTTTTCCCCGGATTTTTCCTGTCTAACGCCGTTCTTTGTGCGCATACCCATTTGTGTGTGCCTTTTAATGAGCTGTTTATGCAATCATCAGGCCCCCAAAAAAACCTTAGCGGCTTTTGGGCAATAAATTCTTGCGCCCTCTTCCCCTCTCTGCCCCCCCGCACCGCACTTCCCCCGGAAATTTGCATAATCGCGGCGATGTCAAGCGACTTAACCTGAACGCGTCCGCATTATGCGACCGACGTCATGATTATTATGATGTGCTATCCCGTAACTTTAAGCTGTTGATTCAATTTGCCGGCAGTGTTTGGTGCCAGATAAACGACTTAGTCGCCGAATGCCAAAAAAGAATTGAATTACCAATGGGGGAATGGGGAACAGGGAACAGGGATCGCACATGTGAGGAGCTCGGAAATCTTTGCTGAAAGTATTAGCATAAAACTGGGAAAACTTTAACAGCGCCAGCTGTTTGCACTTGAGGGGGGCGTTGGGAAACTTTCTTTCGAGGGAAAAACTTGGGCCACACTTGCAATTTGCATATTCTTCGTTAGAATTCGGCGTTGGAAAGGCGGTCAAGTGGGCAGGAAGCCGCCTATGCAAATGTTTGGGCCAGCGTACAACGCTGCGTATGATTGATGTGGCTGGTCAGTTGCTTACATAGGTTGTTCTCTTCTTCGCCTTTTTCCAACCATCCCTCCACCCCCCGCTCGACAATTTCCTCGCCTTTTTCGGGCAATCAATTTGGTTTCTGTGGCTCTCAATTTAAGCCCTTCCCTTTTGGCCTTGAACAATCTTGTTGAATTTTCGCCAGCTTACTTTTTTTGTTGGCCTGGTGTGCGGAAAACAGGAAACTATTTGGCCAAGCGAACTGGGGAGTGTATACTGAACAAGCCGAGAAAGTTTCTGCTTGTAAACTAAGAAAATATAATTTTTGGCAAGTATTCTTCAGCGAAAATTTGTGCAGGTCGGCCAACTGCCAAAGGTTAAATACTTGCCACGAGAACTACTCAAATAGTTCTGAATTATTTAAACTAGCTTCGTAAAATTTCTATCCGTATTTTCCCATCTAAACTTCGATTGCTCCTCTTGTGGTTTTTTTTTTAACAAGACTTAGTCAAGTTGTCTTCGAGCTAAAAGACACATTGATCCGTTTAGCAATATGCAGGACATGTTAAGGATGTTTTTCTCGTGCAAGAGTGCATTGTAAAATTGAGATAATAGCTCGAACCCCGTATTATCCCTAAGCCCATCTGTCAGTCGTATCAGTGGGCAATCTCTGGTGCTCTGGTGCTCTGCAGCAAGCAAAGCACTGGCATATATCAATGCCAAGCACACATTCTACATTCTACGGACAGGTTCTGAAGCTGTGTGCAAACAGAAAACATGGCCAAAGGAGAGCTGCCAGCGGGCCAAGATGGAAGCAAAAAAAAAAAAAAAAAAAAAAAGAAAAAAAATGACGGCAAAGGCAGCAAAATATACAGCTCTCGGCTTTAGGTTGGGCAAACTTTTTGTCTTCTGTGGGGCCAAGATGGTCCGCTTAAATGGGGGCGGGCATACGTACTATATATAGGGTATGGGGTTTATACCATACTCGTATATAGTATACAGGGTATCCGGGGATGCATTACAAACAGCTGCTGCAGTCTGGCGATATGAACACGGACATTGACACACTTAGCCCAGTGTGTCAGCTGTTTGTTTGCATTCTGCTCGCCGTTCAGCAGGAAATTAAAAATGTCCTCATAGATTTATGTGGCTGGCACGCACACATGCTTATCTACACAGCAACAAATTACAGACTAAATTGGTTACCATCATAACTGCATTTCACTACAAAATAATACCCTCTGCAAGGGTACAATGAATGTGCATCTTATTTCATTCAAACATTGTCTTTGAAATACTACTTTAATGAACTTTAAAAAATAACAAATAATATAATTTTCCAGTGTATTTGCTAATGGTTATTCATTTGTTTTCTTTCGTTCATTCTTCTCGTTTTCTGTGTCGATTGTTTTGCTTTCATTGAGTAAGTAAAACAGAGCAGGATAATTCGAAGTGGGGGGTTAAATGGCGTAACACACACATGCAACACCACACACACACAAACACACACACAGAGCAGCAGCAGGAGCAAGAACAACAACCACATCTGATTTTTTCCTTCTATTTTTACTGTTTTTGAGCAATTTTCCCCGCTTTTCGCACCTTTAATGGACGCTTTCTTGTCACAATTTATTCTCTGTTTTTGTTCGGGGTGGTGTTCTTTGAGTTGATTACATTTTCGTGAACTACACTGTGCGAAATGACGGCCAGCAAAAATAAAAATAACAATAATAACGCGACAGAGGGAGAGAGTCGAGAAGAGAGACGAGCGCGAGCGAGCGAACGCTTCCGTGCGGAAGTCAAACGACGACTGAAAGTGAAAATGAAACTGAATGCCAAAAACTCAATGGCGGAGCGAAACAAACGGTAAATTCCGTCCGCCATTTCTCTGCTGCGTCTGCGTGTGTGTGTCCCCAGTGCGTCTGTGTGTGTGTGTGTTTGCAAGTTGAAGGAGTTCGTGTTTCTTGGTGTGCGTAAACGAGGCCGGGCGTTTGCCTTTGTTGTTATTGTTTACGTTTTATCAATGCACACGAATACTCAAACATACTCATGGCAAATTTGGGCGCCAAAAGATATTGCCCCCAAAATCAGCTGATCGCTTGAAAAAGCTTTTAGTGTCCTGGCTAAGCTTTAACAGTAAAAGTAGGCAGCTTTTAAAAATAACTGTAAGCCAATGCCTTTACTTTTTTTGTCTGTTTGTTTGTTTGGAAATTTCAAAAATATATAACAGAAATAAATGTTGTGTATGTTTTTTCCTTTTATTATTTATGTATATTTTATAAACTTAAATAACACAGGATGTGTACGATTATAAATAGAAGTTCTGCTGTGTTGGATGCAGAAATTTGCACAAGTTAAGCCGAGACAAGTTTATTTTTGTTTTAATAAAAACTCTTTAAAGTTTGGACATCAAAAAAGTCGTAAAAGCCCCCAAAACCAAACGTTAGACTCCAAAAAGCTATGTTTGCAGGACTCAAAAACTTGAAAGCTCGTAAAAGTTTTAAAAGTTATGCAAGACATTTTTTTTGGCTCTTCTTCAAAGCTATTTAAGCCTTTCAGCGCCAAAGCTCTGTTAATCCTTTTCTTCCAGCACCCGAAACTTTTCGAATAGCGTGGACTTTAAGCCCCACAATCCACGCGCCAGCTTTTAACCGTCGTTGGGGCTATCTCCCTTTTTTGAATATGACCGCAGTAAGTTTTGACCACAGAGAAATTAATGCTGTACAGACTGAAATAAATGTCCCTGTCGCCAGAGTGCAAAATTGAAAGCGGGTAAGCGGTGGTTTGTGTGGCCAAAACTGCTTACGCAGCGCCTGCTGACTTGAGTATCTTCCGATTCACCGCATATGTCACATGCAGGACGACTCTAAAACCGCACAGCAACCGCAAGGACAATCCGCTGACAGAGGAAGATATAACTGGGGATATGTGGGGCGGGATTTAACAAGGAGCCAAGCCAGTGGGGCATGATGTAAAGGCGTCCTGAGCACATAAACCAATCCAATTCGGGCTCACCTCAATCGACTGTCAGTCCCAAGAACTCGATTAACATTTATTTTCCTTTCAACACGTTTTTTTCCTCTCTCTTTTCCTTTTTTTTTTTTTTTTTTTTTTTTTGCTGTGTCGCATTGGCGTGGAAATGTTGCAAAATTAATGCGATATCCAATGCGATTACAGATGTGACAACAACACGGGGAAATCGCCAGAAACAACATCGGTTGTTCGACAGGAAATAGGAGCTACAACAAGTGTTACATCCACTTGAAGTTGGTTTGCCTCAAAGTTGATTTACAATAATCACCACCGACAAGCGAAATGGCAACAAATAACAGATGTAACAGCCAAGGCTGTTGGCTATAAGCACCAGCTGGCAGACAGGGTGATCCACGGAAAAATCTTTTATCTTGAAAGAGAATGCAGCACGGCTTAAGAGCTTAAACAGATAAGGACTAGCAATTCGCCAGTATTTTTACACAGTAAAAGATATTAAAAAATGCTGTCAAGACTTGAAAAGAGAGAGCATTGACATTCATTACAAATTCAACATTTTAGTTTTAAAATATGCTTGTGTAATGAAAAACATATTTTTTTATTTTGTACAACCATACTTTGCTTAAGGAGTCCAAAGCAGAAATAAACACCCCTTTTCGGCTTTCGGTGGCAGGTGCTCCTGGGTCCTTATGTAAAACACAAAAACCGAGGGGAAAACACAAACCAGACGAGCGCTGAAGTGAGAGATATAAAGATTCCGTTGACCAACTCTCGAGAGCATATTTATATTTATCGATGGCAACACGCACACAGCCGCAGCCACCTATGCATATATGAATGCCAATAGGTACAGTTGTGCTCAAATTTGTAGTTGTCATGCATAAAATTCAATTTGGGAGATCATTAATACCAGCCTATGTATTGAACTTAAATTTTATTTACATTATATATATATATTATTTTGAAGAACCAACTTTGATTTGCTATTTATTGGCCTGCCAATACTGCTATTAATTTGTGGCTGGCTGTATTTCGAATCGGATAAATGGAATGTGGAATGAAAGACGCCTTAAAATGCCTGCAGCTGGGATAGGGGTTTATTAAAAATGTATGCCGTAAAAATTGCGTTTTCATATTGTGTAAATGCCCCTGAATATTTACACGCTCTGCCTTGACTCTCTATGTGTGTTTGCGTGTTTATCTGTGTGCATGTGTGTGTGTATGTGTTAGCTCGTAAACAGGAAACGGAAATCAGCATGCAGGCGCACGCAGCAACAACAACAACAACAACGAGGAGTAAAAATCAACATCAGCAGTTGGATTATTGTTTTTCGAGGCACTCACAATGCTGCGGTTGCTTGTGGCAAACATGTTTAATAACCGCACGACCACAGACGCGTTTTTGGCCCACAACCATTGGTTAATATGGCCAAGCTGGGCAGCAAATCAACACATGTACATAGGTACATAACTAGTAGTTGGCCGGAAGGGCGGCATTGTTTCCCGCTTTCCCCATTTTGCCATTTTCCAGTGGGACTCGATGGTAATGCTCGCTGGCCATGCAAATATTGTTATGCAGATGTGGATTGACTGCGATCGCACAACTTATGCATAAATATGTATGGTATGCGCATGTTTATGGATAAACAGAAAACAACAAGTTGATGGGGTCAATTTCTAAAGTGGTAAAAGTGGTTTATAGCCATTTCTGATTTTGTGCAAATTCAATTTAAGGCCCTGTGGCGCAAGAATAGAATACCGCAATGCATTATTAATGCCAACTCAAAATCGATTTAAAATGTGTTCTACCATTATTTTTGTTTAAATGTATTTTTTGACAGTTTTAATGAATTCATTTGAATTTAATTAGTCCAAATATTATTTGTATGCTGTGCATGTGCAATGATAAAATAATGATCACGTTTTCAGAATATATGTGCATATTAAATAGGTAATAGCACTTAATATTCAAGCAAGCAATAATAAAAAAAATTAATATATGCTGTCCATTCATTTCGCAGAAATATAATTTTTATTTGCTTAATTTATGGTTTTATGATAGGGAAAACAGACGCCTGAAACATTTTATCCAATTTTTTTTATGATAGGGAAAAAAGACGCCCGAAACATTTTATTCAACATTTTATATTTTTTCTACTTTATCTATGGATTTTATACAAATTCCATCGCTTGTTTGCGCATTTATGGAGCTAAATATTTATTTAAAGTGCTCTGCTGGTTAAAAGAAAAACCAAGATATATTTTTTTAGCTGCCATTTAATCCTTAATCGTTATTGGCTTGGTTTCGGTGTTTGGCTTTAATCGAATGCAGTTTGCCATCGAAAGGGAATTCAATTAAGATGAGAAACTGAATTTTTGTAGAGCGTTGGAAAATGGCAAAAAGTTGCTTGCAACAAAAAATTAAATTAATGCCCCATTGCTATGCGCATAGAAAATGCGGCCAAAAGAGGCAATGAAATAAGGACAACAAAACCCGGGCTTAAAGGAGCAGAACGGAGACATGGGAAGGAGGGAAAGAGATGGGTATACAAATGAAAAGAGAAGAAAGGGACAGGAAGCTGGCCAAGTTAATTTATGTTCGAGTCCTTGCTGTCTTATGCCTTATGTTGAGCCCCAACTTTGGAGAGTGTTTTCTAAATATCATGTAAATACAAGTGCCAATACAAGCACACACTCACGCACACATAGAGGAAAAAACACACAGCAAGCAACACACTCACACACACACACACACACGTGTGTACACCTGGCTTTGTCTTTGTGTGGGTGAGCAGAAAAGTTTTGCCACCTGCGTTTTTTCATTTACATGAGTAAGTTTCCACATTAAGCACAGGGAAAATGAAAAGAAAAACCAGGCCTCCCCTTGTTTTCAACTCTCCCCCACAATTTCCACCAAAAGTTAAAGTCAGACCCAACAACATTTCGTTCTGCGAAAAGATGGAACAAAATTTAAAACGCCTGTCCGCGTGAAAAAAAGCATTTCAATTTCTGTTTAATCAGCGTTAATTGCGCGTTAAATTTATAATCGAGTATTTGACAATAATTAAATGAAATGCTGAGCACACACACATGCATAATTAAATGAGAGTCAGACGCAAATCGAATTTCTATTTGTATTTATATTAAATATTAAACAGAATACGTGTATCTGCATTCTTTTTGGCCAATTTCAACTCGAGTGAAATCAAATGGAATTTCTTGATGACTTAACTCAGTCAGCCGGTAAAGAAAAAAAAAGGGGGAATATATAGACAGAATTGTCTCTGACTTTTATACACTGCAAACAAAGTGGTGAAATTCGGATAATTTATGAAACTAGCAAATAGATTGCAAGAATCTAATAAAACTGCAATTTACCATAAGTCCTTTCTTTAAAATCAAGCCTACTAGCTATCCTTCAACTAATCCATTTGTTGGCTCAGAAAATTAATTTGAATTTAATTTTTTTGTGCTCTGCAAGACATACAATTATTTTTGAGTGCACTTACCGGTTACCAGCAAGTTAAGCACATTTCTTCTGCTCGTTTGGCGAATGTGAAACCAAAGTTAAATAAATAAGCGGCAGTTGATTAGGCGGCTCCAAGGGGACGGTGGCCAAATGGGCGTTGTTAAGAGGGGGAGGGGGGAAGGCTTTCCCACCTGGCTGAGATGCTGTGATGCTGAGCTCAGCATGCGTGAGATGCCTGCGGCAGAATGCCAGGTTTCATCCACCCAAGAACCCAGCAACCCACCAACCAATTCCAGCAACAAATCCACTGCCACACCCACAAACTCTGCCTCCGGCCAA